GGGATCAAGAATTTAAGACACGCAGGGATTGATCTAACGGTCCAAAATTAACACCTGGCTTATTCGGTACAACACTTGATAAGATTAAAAAACCAAAAACACAAAGGTACAAGACCAAATTAGTGCGCCAAACGTACGGAATTGTTACCATGGGTTAACGGCGCGTGACGTGAACGTACAGGACGAAGGAAAGTAAAAGGTCATTTTCGAAAGTTCGTGGGAGTCAAAGGTGGATGTGAGGGGCACGTGATGGGGAATCGAAGTGGGGCTGAGAAGGAGTTGTCCTTTTGTGGGGTTAAGGGCCAAATTCTTTTGTTCTTCTTCCTTAAAATAGGAATAGATTCACTAAAATGCCCCTAAGTTGGTTAAGTTGGAAGGATTAGGACATCGTCCTTCGTGGTCCTGGCGCAAGCTTGCTGTTAGATGAAAGGGAAGCGCACGGGGTAGCATTTAGTCAAACAAAATCCAATGGTAGAAAGGCCACAGCGCATGGGAAGATTTGAACTGTCTACAGTCTTCACCTGAACTTCAAGATAATAAAGTTTTTATAATATGAATATAAGATGAATTAGTCTTGGCAATAAGATTTGGCAGTAAGAGCTAAAACGATGACGTGGGTGAAATAAAGTCAACAAAACAAAGAAAAAAAGATTGGACGACGTAGATAAGTTGAGAGCTCAATAATTCATTCGAAACTAATAGAATGATCATCACCTATGTTTTCAAATAAAAAAATGATCTATAGATTATCAACCATGTTTTCAAACTTATAAATGAAGATTGTTAAGTAATTTAGTGGATTTGTTAGCCATTTAAACACCACATTTCTCGAATCAAAAACCTTTCACCTACCCCTTTCTTTTCAATTAAATTAAGGAACAACCATCATTTTATTACAAAAAAAAAAAAATTGACGTGATGCATCAATCACCAACTAAAAAAAGTAAAAAAACAAAAAAAAGAGAGAAATAAAAAGGTTTGATGACATGGATAGGCTAAGAGTTCAGTAAAAAAAGAAAAAAGATAGAGAAAAAGATTAAGAGAAGTGGATAAGTTGAGAGCTCAATAATTCATTCAAAATTAATAGAATGGATTAGGGTGAGAAAAAAAAAGCAAAATAAATTTAAAATTATATTGTTTGATTTTATTTGAATAGAGTAGATGAATCAAATTAAATCATTAAAATAAAATCGGTTAGAATTTGAATGATATTTAAAAACTTTAATATTATATATTATTTAAAAAATTCCAACTAAATATGATTTATTATCACTCATAATTATTACTAATTAAATTTTTTCAATTTTAGTATATTTTGCTTCATATCTTCATCTTTTCATGGAATTGGATTGAAACTGTTGAAATTCTCCATTGTCTTTCAACTACCATTTATTTATCTTTGAATCTTTTGCTAAATTCTGTCTTTTCTCTAAGAAAGTCCCTCCTTCTCACTCCTTTTCTTTCCTCCGTTAGTTTTGTTTTGTTTTTGTTTTTTTGTTTTTTACTATGCAGCTGTGGCCAAGTGGGTGCTTTCTGCTTCTTTTTTGTGGTTTCTTTGTAATTTCATATGAAATTTTTATGTTTTTTGTGGTTGAAAATTTGGGTTTGGATCTTGGAATTAGGTTCAAGTTTTTTCTTCATAAATGTTTTCTGAAAGCTTTATGCTCTAAATTTTTCGGTGAATTTTAAGGTTAGGTTTAACCGTAAAGTTTTTAGCATATTCAAGTTTTGTGCTTTGAATTTTGGCTTAAGTAAGGAAACTGAGCTTCGTTTCTTCTAGAAATGTTAATACTGTTTAATTTGGACTTGGTCTTCTTCTTGGTTGCTGAGAAATATAGAGAAAATACAAAGACAAGAAAATTTTTTGGTTTATTTCCCATGTTGTTTGAGTTTAACAATAGTAGTAGTTGAAACAACCCTTGATTTGTTTACCTTTCATTACGCATAAAAGTTCCCCTTTTCCAGCTTGTCCAGCTAGGAAGACTCCAGAATCTTCTTCGGTGTCGGTGAGTTTTTGGCGAATAACTAACTACATTTATAATGCAAAATGTAGGGAGGATTGTAAAGGTTCCCGGGATATTTCTTTGGCCAGTTTGTCATTTAGATCAAACTTATCATCTGTCACTACATGTGATATTACTTCTTTACAGTTTCAATGCTTACAAAAAAAATTTTTTTCTTTTTAAACGGACGTATACTATCTTGTCATGAAATCTAAGCTGATGACTTTATGTTTTAACTTTTGATTCTCCAAATATGTTTTTAATTATCCAAAGTACTCTCCTTCATTCCTGTTTGTATCGATCATTCCTTGTGTAATTGATTCTTTTCATATAGATCTGAAGATTGTTTTGCTTGGACTTTCATAGTTGATTATGTTTGTAAAATGTAAGACATTGATGACTTTAAAGAAATGTTCTTAGATGTCACTTTGTCTATAGAGATGTTGTGCATAGAGGATAATGTAGTTACGAGTGGTTCTTGCCTGTAGTTACATGATCTTTTAGACATTGATCTTTAATTTTTCAGGATTGTTAGAATCATGAGTTTGGATGCATTTGTACTGCGTTGGGGCCAATGAAAACTGAATTTATGACGTTCTATGACAGTATATTACCAAACAGCTTGTACTTTCTCATGTTTATAGAGCATCTTTTCTATTAAGTAATGATTCTCTGCAACATATTTGTAATATATCTCATTTTTTTGCAGATTTTACTTTGAGATTTGACACATTATGATCTATTGACAATGAGAGAGAGCACGCCCGTTGTCATTCATACAAGAATATAGATGTATACAGGCGTGCTCTCTATCGTTGTCATATGATCTGTGTAAAGTTATCTTTTCTCAATATCTCTCTTTTGCGGCAATAGTTACAAGGTGATTCTTATTTTTTTATTCAGCTGCAAATACTGCAAAATATCTTATAAGATATGAATCTTCTTAAATTTGATTGACTCTATGTTAAATAAAGCAGTTAAGATTACCTACATAACATAAAAGGTGCCTTCTTCAAGATTATTAATAATCTTCCACAATATTTCAAATCAATGCACTTTTGGGTTATCATAAAGATTACCATCTACATCACCACTTCTACCATCATCATCACAATTGTTATCCCAACTGGCTTAGGCTTTATTTAATTGATACTTTTGCTATTTGCCTTTTGCTTTTTCTGTAGAAGGTGAAAATAGTATATTAAAAAGTGAATTGAAAAAAAGAAAAATATCAAAAAAGCAAAAACATGAACCAAACAGAATCTTGATATCATGACCACAGAAGACATTACAAATATGATTTCCTTTTCCAGTTTTATTTTCTTTTACACTTTGTTTTTCCTTTTTTTCTCTTCCTTAGATTGTATAAGTACTTTTTCTCCACTTCTATTGAAATAAAAAAGGGAAGAAAATAGTTTGGATTATTCCTTATCCAAAATGGAGTAGAGATTACTTGGATGAAGTTCCTTTGGATTTATAGGTTTATTAGAAATAAGATCTCTAATGTTAATATTATATTTTCTTTATCAAAATTGATCATATATTCATTTAAGTTGACCAAAAAAAATTTCTAGATGGCCGTTGGTAACAACAATAAGATTTTGAGTCTAACAAGCTGTTTTCATAAGTTTTGGTGTGAATAATTTGATTTTTAGTTTACCATTCTCTAAGTGAGATATGAACTTGTTTGTTAAATGTTAGTCACTCAAAGGACGTGGATTTGAGGGAATGAAGTTATTTACATCACTAGAAAGTAGAAATAGAAAACTTAATGAGATTTTAAATCTAAATAGCTACATGTATTATCTTTTGCTTCCGAGGATTTATTAATTAAAGTTCTGTTCTTAGGATTTTACTGTGTATCTATTAGAATAAGTAGATGCAATGGTCATCTTTTCCTCATTGCACTGACACTCACTTATATTGGTACACCGCTTGTACCATTATATAGGATGTAATTTTGGTGTGTTGCCAGGCTTTTGTTTGTAGTTTGTGTTTATTTCGAAATCAGGTTAAATTGTTATTGGTAGTTTTGATCCCTAGCGATCATTTGAAGCATATTTGAATGATTGTAAAAGTATTTTTTTCGTCGACATGTAAAATCAATTGTTCCTTAGATTCCTAATGTAGTAACCATTCATGTTGGCTTTTCAATTTCTTTTCTTATTTCAACATTATAAGATCTATTGTTCGTTTGATTCAATTGTTCTTTGTAGGCAGTATACATATCAAGGCTTATATGCTGTGTGTTGTACAGGTGTTTCCTTGTTGGTCGTCGCCTGATCGCCTCAATTTCCACTAATGTGAAAGAGGAGTTTGTCTAGTTAACTTCTTTGCCTGTGCTTGCTAGATGCATCTTATATATATTGTACAATAACTTTTACCAATAATGTTCTTTCCATGATAAGTAACTAACATGCACAAAGCAGTATTAATAGTATCATTTATCCTATCCTTATAGGATTGGCAGCCGAGTAGATTGACAGGGAAATTTCAATTACATGACTGCTGATCAGCACTGTTTTGCTGTAAAGAATCAAAATAAGAATCGTGACTCTATTTTGATACTGTAATCTCAATGATATGATTGCAATCTTTTTGATAGTCAGTGATATAAGATATGGTGATAGTCTAGTGTTGATCTTTATTATTTTTATGCAAAATGGCCTATGCTTTGTGTTTTTTTTTTTCCAATTCTAATATATTGTAATTGCAGTGTGTGATTTACATATTCTTTCTTGTGATCAATGGAGTAGAATTATGATGCTGTTGTGGGAGATACAACAATCATTGCCAGCAGATTGTCATATGTTGATTTCACATTGCCATACACTGACTTAGGCATTGGAATGGTAGCGCCAAAAGCCAGCAAAAACAATATGTTGATTTTCCTGAAGCCTCTTTCTGGAGATCTGAGGATAACAACTGCTGCTTTCTTTATTTTCACTGGCTTTGTGGTTTGGCTTATTGAACGACCCATCAACGATGAATTAATTCCAAGGCTCGCAATCGAAGCAAGTTGGAATGATCTTTTGGTACTCCTTCTCAACTCTTGTATTTGCCCATAGTAAGTACTCTATATTCAACCCAAAGCATACGTTAATTACAGTCAACCCTGTCCTGAGCTAAGCTAACTGTAAATTTCTTACTATAATTAGAAAGTGCAGAAGAGAATCTCTTGAGCAACTGTCAAAGTTTCTCAAAGTTGGCTTCCATGTTAACAGTTCAACAGATTCAATTGATCTCAAGAGAGGATTATGTAGATTATCATTCTTGTTTATTGTTCCCAAGGGCAATTAGCAACTTAAATTTTGAAAGTCCCAGGCTAAAGCCATACCAATCTCCAGAAGAATATGCCAATGCTTTAAGAAGGGGAAGTAAGAATGGTGGTGTGTCAGCCATTATCGATGAAATACCATACATTAAAGTATTCCTTGCCAATACTCTGCTGATTACACCATGATCAACTCCAATTCTACATCAGGCGGTTTTGGCTATGTAAGAATCCTTTCGAAAGCCCTGATCTAGTCTAAAAAATTAACATACTTACTAAAAAAAGCCATTCATTCCCACATGTTTTTCATTTTTTGTTTTGTTTTTTTACAAAAGAAGCTGCAACTTAAAAATAGTAAAAGGTGCAACAGGTGCTGTGATTTGTACTCCATATCTGCTTGTGTCACTTTTTAAGGATGATTGCATGAATCAACTGAATTAAACTCTAAATTTATTCTCACATGATTTGTTCTTTCTTTAATTTGCAGCAATGGGTGTTCATTGTCTTATGTTAACTTATTGGTTTTCCCTAAAGGTTCACCCCTGGTCCAAGACATATCAAGTGCAATTGTGAGGCTAAGAGAGGAAGGAAAGCTGCAGATGATAGAAAATGCATTGTCTAACAGTGAGTCAAGCTTTTCAAACCAGGACTCTACAAGTAATCCCAGCAGTCTAAACCTTGATAGCTTTGGGGGTTTGTTTCTTGTAACTGGGATCTCTTCAACTTCAGCTCTACTGATATGGCTATATCAATAACGTCAATCCATGACAATCAGCAATTTCAAATTCTACCTAAACAGTAGCTTGGAGTTTACAAAAGAGTACTTCAATTAGTCTTTAAAAGAAATTTATGACACAAAGCTAAATTTTTTATCATTATGCTATTGTGTACAAATTGTAAGTTTTTCTACTCGTTATATTGAGTTTGTAAGCCCTCAAATTTAATGACAGTAGGGTTGTGACTCTATTCAATGTAATCTTTTTTATTTTTCAAATTTATTGTTTATTTTTATATGTAAAGCACTTCTTATTTACTTGTTTGTAAATGTCATTAAATGATAAATTTTGAATTGTCATTAATTTATTAATTTTGGGCATAAAGCCCTAAACTCAACAAAAATAAGATTATTTGATGTTGAGTAAAGATTTATTTATATAAGTGTAAATTTTATTTTATTTTTTAATTTTTAGATCAAAATTAAAGTCGTGATTAGTTTTAATTAAAATAATATTTTTAAACCTTAATCATTTTAAATAAAAAAAACTAATCATTTAACTTTTTTTTTCTTTTAAAATACCTTTCTTTATCAAAACATTCGCATGTAGACTAGTGAGTGAGCGAATTCTAGTTTTTTCTAAACATATTTAAGTAAGGACTTCGGTAAATTCAGTTGAAATTACCAGTAAGTACTTCTAGTTTGGTAAATTCTAGACTTTTCATAAAGATATTTAACTAAGAAATTTGGTAAATTGATTTGAACAAATATCTAAGTTAAAGTTTTGTCGTTAAAGGGCAGCGTTCGTCGGCATCTGTCGCTACACGGTGGAGGTCATTTTCTAGTCAGTGGTCAACAATTAAATAGTCTAAATTTCTAAAATTCTACAAAAATAAACCTCCATAGTCTTCAAGATCTGACAAAATATTATATATAAACGTCTGCAATGTATGCCTGTTTTGACTTGAAATCAAGTAAATATTATATATGAATCTTAGGGTTGTCTTATTAAAACTTTAAGAGAATCGATTTATATGAAATTAAAATTTTTGAATTTTAAATTTAATCCATTTGATTCATATAATTATATTTAAAAAATAATATAAAATAAGTTTTAAATTCAAATTATTTTAAAATTTATAATTCCAATCATTATTTTTTAAATTATAATTTTTTTATAAAAAAAAAATTTTTTTACTCTTAAAAAAAATCATAAAGTTTGTAATCTCAAACTGTTCTCAAATAATAAAATAAAACATTAAATTTATATTTGATATATTATTAATACACAAATGCTATATATCATTAATGAATCGGATTATATAATCTTATTAATAAAATAAATCATATAATATTATTTTATTAATAAATAAAATTTTTAAAATATTAATTTTTATATTTATTTTAAAAAATAATATTTAATTATTAATATAATATCATCATTTGATTCACAAATAATATATAAATTTATACTTTAATAATACATTCAATATAAACTCTAAAAATCATATCTTGCGCATGAATCAGCACCTCACTTTTTTTCATTGTGGGGAGACCGAAACATTAGAAAATTGAAACACTCTACTACTGAGACAAATTAAGATGGGCCGTCACTTACGACTAAGATGGGGGAGAGGAAAACTGTCATTTCAGGCATCTAGAAGGCAGCCTGCTAATACAAAAGTTTACAGGCATGAAAACAGCATTTGGCCACAGGAAGATGAAGAGAAAGAATCAAATCTTGCTCTTGTTTGCAGCCTACTTTAGCCTTATCAGCAAACTATGTGAGCAAGCTGAATTGAGCAGGAACCAAAATGGTGTTAGCCTGGTGGACGAGGTTCATGTTGGAGTTATCCTTGATATGGGAACAAGGGAGGGGAAGACTATCTACAGCTCCATTTCCATGGCGATTTCTGATTTTTATAGCTTACATTCGGACTATGAAGTGAGGATAGTTCTCCACATGAAAGACTCTAAAGGGGACCCTTTGCTTGCTTTATTTGCCGGTAAATTTTTCTTATACTTTTTGCTTCCTATCAATTATGACCTTTTCATTTCTTTCTTCACCCATTATTACAAATTAACTCCTTTCCCTTAGTGAAAATTTTTTTTCCATAAAAAATCATAATCCAGTATATAAAGAGATTATGATATTGAAATTTAGACCTTAAATATATTATAAATCATTTTTTAAAGAGAATGCATAAATCAATTATGCTCAATCTCAAATTCAATTATAATATATTTTTTTTTGCTCTTTCATATATTAGATTTTTAATAATAATAATTTTCAAAGGATCATATATACTTAAGATAAGTTTCATATACAAATTGGAAAAAGATAATAATGTCGCTCATCAATCATCAACATTATAAATTCAAAAATATTTAGCAACTTATATATAATTACTAGACTTAAGCTCACATGTTGAGTTTGTTCTCAAAAAACAGAAAATGGATTTCTCCTTTGTGTTTTAATGAGAAATTGGGAATAATTAAGATGATGATAATGATGATATCATTATATTATTATTATTATTTTAAGATTTCAATCGAGTAATTGGCCCCATGCACTAGATATCTAGATATATCGCGATATCTCCTCTCCTAATTTTGAAGCAATATTTAATTAAGCAATTTGATGATTTCTTTTAAAAAAATTAATTTAAAACTATTCTTAGTATAATAATTAAATTAAAAACTTTATGATGTAAACTAATAATTAGAGAAGGCTTGAAATATATAAATGATCAGTCAAATAATTTTTTTTAAATTTTTGTTATATAAAAGACCCATTAAATTTTAAATATACACATATTCTAATTATTAAAATTTAAGATTTTCAAATTCAAATCCCATATTCTAACTATAGGGAATACCATCTTTGGCATTTGTCTCATTTGGTTTATAGAGATATCTATTTTTTTTTCTACTATTATTGTATTTATTTTATATAGTGCTAAAATTTGGTGCACATCATGTGGGTTTTTTTCTTTAAGAAGAGAAATTCTATGGATATTTATTTTCAAAAAAGATGAGAAATTTTTTTATATAGGAGTGAGTAGTTTCTTAAGGAAAAATATATTTTGGTAAAAATTATAAAAAAGACAAAAAAAAGCCCCTAATTTCATATTTATTATTATTTTACTTAATTTTTTGATAATTTTATCAATTAGTGAATCACTTTATTATTAATATGGATTAATTTAGGGGTGTCATTCTTAGAAGAAAAAGTCAAAATTTGAAGGGTATTAGTCAATTTCACCATCAACATAAAGTTAGACTAAAATAGGAGAATTTTCAAGAATTTCTCTCCAAAGGGAATGATCTAGACAGTTGCTTCGTCATTTATATGAATGCATGTATGTGCTAAATCAAATTTTGAAAATTAATGCTAATAGTTGTTTGGTCTATTGATAAAATAATAAATTTTAATTTCAATAATTAAAATTTAATTTTTAATAACTTTATATATTAAAAAATTATTAAAATTAATGCATAAAGAAATTAAATGGTAAGCGAATAATATTAGAATATATATATATATGAAAAAATATGTTTTAAATTAAAATTTCTTAGCAAAAGATTGTTAAGACTTGAAGGTCATATTTGGTTAATAAAATAATTGATAGAATAGGATGATAATTATTTTATATTATGTTTGGTTTATGTTTAAAAAAAATGATAAAGTTATAAGAAAAATTATTAGTCTCTTGGTATAGAATAATTTAATCCTCCCAAAATAGAGAGAATTATTTTTAATCAATAGGATTAAACTTATATATATCTTATTTTATCTTTAAAAATTACATCAATAATTTAAATTATACAATTTTAAAAAGAGATAATCTTTATCAATAAATAAATTATCCTAACTTAATCTTTACACACATCAAATAAAAGATAGAATGATATTATTTAATCTAATCATATTTATAATATCATTTTATCATATCTTATCATATCTTATTTACCAAATATAACTTAATTAAAATTATATATCTCCCTAATGATTCTTAAGTGAGGTAAGATAAAGAATAAGGGAATTCGTGCCGATGATGCTAGCTACAAGAGAATGTCTAAAAACTCAAAGGTTTTAGAGTAAAGGTTTTTTGTGTAGATTTGATTATTTAATTATGTTTTAGCTTGTTCATCAGTAATTGTAATAATTGATTATATAAATATAATGTAATACTTCATTGATTATAATTGTAACTTAAAAAAAAACTTAATACGATTTTAAAAAATAAGGAATTCGTAACCAATTAAATTTTAATTTTGTTAACATTTATATAACAATTAAAAACTATATAAGAGTAATTTAGGAAATACAACAAAACTTGATGTACAAAACGATTTACCAACATCTATAGTTATGGAATATTCCATAAATTTATATATATTATAAATGTTATACTTTTACATAATCTATATCGATCATATAGATGTTGATAAAGTATAAAAAAAAAAAAAACTTTTTCTAAATACGTATATTAAATTTTGTATTTATAGATGATTTCTCAAATAATTGAACAAAAATTTAGGTGTAAATAAGGAAACTGATTTAATTGGCATTTTTAAATGAATTTTTCAAGGAAAGGGAAGAAAAATCTAATTTGGTTGAACTAGGATCCGTTCTAAGATCTTTCTATTATTTGGTATATTTGCCCGACTTCAAATGTCTGTCCAATATTTACAGGGGTTTGGATAGAAAAAATGAAGCTTGTCTAAAAGAAAAGTCAAATTTTCATTTCGAGTCACGCCAAATGCAATTTAAATTATATAAAAAATATATTATATATAAGATAAAAATTTTGTGATCCAATAGTATAATTTTTATTTTTTTTAGATCTTTGGATTAAAATTACTAAATTCAAATATATTATTTTGATGCAAATGACTGATTAATTTAATATTGATTTAAACGTTAAGAAAAAGTATTAAAGTTGTGATTGGTATACTATATATGTTGCAAATGCAGCTTTTAACCTCTTGGAAAATGCCAAAGTTGGAGTCATCCTCAGCGCCCAAACATCAATTTTGGAAGCAAATTTTTTGGCTGAATTAGGAGATAAGACCAAAATTCCAGTAATCTCATTTTCTACGGCCTTTGGCTCATCTCCATCCCTCAACAATTACCCATACTTCATTCAGATTGCACAAGATGAAACTGCCGAAGTTAAAGGAATTGTTTCTTTTATAGAATTACATAATTGGGAAAATGTTATCCTTATCTATGAGGATAATGACAACTGGAGTGATTTCTTTGAACATACAAAAAACCACATTGCATATAAAAGCGGAGTGGCTAGATCATCTAAAGATGATCAAATCATTAAAGAACTTCACATGCTCAAAGCAATGCAAACTACGGTGTTTGTTGTGCATGTGTCACATGTCTTGGCATCTCGTCTTTTCTTAAATGCGAAAAGGTTGGGAATGATTAGCCAAGGGTATGCGTGGATTGTGACTTCAAAGAGCATGAATCACTTGCAGAAGACAGATTCATCCATCTTTGAATCGATGCAAGGAGTCCTTGGTTGCAGGTCTTATATTACAGAATCAGAACAGCTCCAAAATTTCACTTCAAGAATGAGAAAAGAAGTCTATAATAAGGAGCTTGATATGCTAGAAAGGATGCACATAAATTTATATGGTTTATGGGCTTACGATGTTGCTTGGAGTCTTGCAAAAACAGCTAATAGCACGGTTCTTAAAGTTCCTGATCAAACCAGCGATCCAGATGCTAGATTGAACTTGATGGATTTTGACAACTTCAGAACAAATATTCAAGGTTGGATACTTCTGCAAGAGATATTCGAAAACAAATTTAAAGGTTTAAGTGAAGAATTTCAATTCATTAATGGAAAGCTAATCTCAAGAACATTTGAAATAGTTAATGTGATGGGTGAAGGGGAAAGAAGAGTTTGGTTTTGGACTTCCGCAGGCAAAATCACCAAGAAATTACACGGAAGCCGAAGGCATCTGTCTTCCATCAAAGACCTTGAAACGATAATCAGGCCTGGTGGGACTTCAACCATTCCCAAAGGTCGGATGATGCAAATGAGTGGCAACATCCTAAGGATTGGTGTTCCAATAAAATGGGGGTTTACGCAATTGGTGAAAGTGGATCGTGAACTTCAGACCAATGCTACGATTGCCACTGGTTTCTGCATAGATGTTTTCAAAGCTGTATTGGCGCGTTTGAAGTACGACGTGCAATATCAGTTTATCCCCTTCGTGGTGGGTTATGAACAGATTAATGAGGCATACAATGATATTGTTTACCAGGTCTACATATAGGTACGATTGATATTCGCTTAATGATCTATTCTAGAATCCAAATCAAAAACGACAGGAGAAAGAAGAAAGTTCTACTATATATATGGACGACTAATTGAATATAATACTTTTCTCTATGCAATTTGTTCATATTACTTACTTTTAGAAAACTCTGATTTTTTTTTTTTTTTTGGTTACATGTTTGGATAATAAAATAGAAGTACGATGCTGTTGTTGGAGACACAACGATCACAGCAAATAGATCTTTGTATGTGGATTTTACCTTGCCATATACTGACATAGGGGTCGGAATGGTAGCCCCGAAAGAAAGCAAAAGCTTCTGGATTTTCTTGAAACCACTTACACGAGAACTCTGGCTAACAATTGTTGGAGTTTATCTCTTAACGGCTTCTATAATTTGGCAGATTGAACGTCCTACACCTGTTGAACAAGGCCCCCAATCTCATTGCCGAGTTGGAAGGATATTTTGGTTCTCCTTCTCCATCCTTGTTTTTGCACATTGTAAGCACTCTCACACATCTATGTTACAATCCAAATTAAGATATATATATATATATATTTATATATATTGAGACCTTCTACATGTGCTGGTTTCTCCGTAATCAACCAACATTTGTGACTCCAGGCTGAAAATGCCTGATGAATTACAGAAAGATTGAACCAATGTTCAAAAGTATCATGCAGTTGGGTGCTCATAATTTCATCTAGAAGAAAATTTTGTACATTAGAGCTGCACATTCGAGGTTGACTTTACAAAAATGAATCTTTTGACGTGATTGCAGGGGAAAAATTATCAAGCCATTTGTCAAGATCCATGGTTCTCTTGTGGGTGTTTGTAATGTTCATATTGAGTTCCAGTTACACAGCCACTTTGACATCAATGATGACGGTCCAACAGATTGAATTGAACTCAAAGATAAGCAACATTAATATAGGACTCCAAAGAGGTCCTGTTATCCAAGAAGTTGTCACTAATCTAAATTTTGAAAATACTAGTTCTAATTCTATATCGTTTGTTTTAGCTGAAGAATATGCAAACGCTTTATCAGAAGGTAGCGTCTCTGCTATCATTGATGAGATACCATACATCAAGATCTTCCTAGCAAAGTATTCTGCGCATTATTCCATGATCGGGCCCGTCATGCCTACCACCAATGGCTTTGGCTTTGTGAGTTATCAGTTCCTCTAGAATCCTGCGAGCATGCATTATTCACAGAAATTATAATATGAAATGCAAAATTAACCGTCTGAATATATAAATGCAATATGTATGTGTGTGTGTGTGTGTGTGTCCTTGTGTTTAACTTTTAAGTCAAAATTTTCAGGTTTTTCCTAAGGGTTCACCCTAGATCCCTGACATATCAAGGGAAATTGCAAGACTAAGAGAAAATGGAAGGCTTCAAATGCTTGAAAATGCGTGGTTCAAAAGTCCGATGACTTTTGCTTCAGGGGATACTTCAGACAGTGTCCACCCACTTACAGTATATGACTTTCGCGGCTTGTTCCTTATCAGCGTCACCTTTTCAGCTTTAGCCTTTCTATTGTTTTTTGCTTCTGTGCTTTACAGGAGCTGGCATGTTATGAGAAATTGGGAACGACCTGATCAATTTGTGAAAGAGTATTTCTCCATGATAATTTCAAACGCAGGAGAGATCAATCCAATGTCATACACCCAGAGTCAGACAATTTATAAGTATCTGAAGTAAAAATTCCAAAACAAGAATGTATACAAAAATATTATTGGAAATATATGATTTGTATGACTATTGTACATTATAACACCTTGCAGTTTGCAGCAATTCAAATCTTGCTGCCAAGACTAATTCATCTTATATTCATATTATTAAAACTTCTTGAAGTTCAGGTGAAGACCGCAGAGAGTTCAAATCTACCCATGCGCTGTGGACTCTCTACCATTGGATTTTGTTTGACTAAATGCTACCCTATGCGCTTCCCTTGGATGTAACAGCAAGCTTGCGCCACGACCATGAAGGACGATGTTCTAATCCAACCAACTTGGGGGCATTTTAGTGAATCTATTCCTACTTTTAAGGAGGAAAAACAAAAGAATTTGGCCCTTAACCCCATAAAAGGACAACTTCTTCTCGGCCCCACGCCCACTCCCAACCACGTGCCGTTCACATCCACCTTTAACTCTCACCAACCATAGAAAATGACCTTTTACTTTCCTTCGTCCTTGCACGTTCACATCACGCGCTGCTGACCCATTGTAACAATCCCGTACATTTGGTGCACAGTGAAAGCGTAATTTGGTCTTGTACTTTTGTGTTTTTGGTTTTTTAATCTAATCAAGTTTGTACCGTACGAAGCCACGTGTTAATTTTGGACCGTTAGATCAATCCATGTGTATCTTGATCCCAGGCAAGGAGGCGGATTTCGAAACGGTACGTTCAAATCATCAATTATGCAAAACCTCTTCTTCACCCTTATTAATAACAACTAGGTGAGAAAAAAAAATTAATTTGAAATTATATTATTTGGTTTTATTTGAATAGAATAGATGAATCAAATTAAATCAGTAAAATAAAATAAATTCAAATTTGAATGAAATTTAAAATTTTATAATATTATATATTATTAAAAAATTAAATTGAATATGATTTATTATCACTCATAATTATTATTATTGATTAATTTTTTTTAATATTAGTATTTTTTTTCTTCATATCTTCATCTTTTCCTGGAATTGATTGAAAACTGTTGAAATTCTCCATTGTCTTTCAACTACCATTTATTTATCTTTTAATCTTTTGCTATCTTCTTTCTTTTCTCTAAATAACTCTCTCCTTTTCACTTCTCTTCTTTCCTCCGTTAGTTTTGTTTTTTTGACTATGCAGCTGTGGCCAAGTGGGTGCTTCCGCTTCATTTTTGTGGTTTCTTTGTACTTTAATATGAAATTCTTATGTTTTTTGTGGTTGAAAATTTGGGTTTGGATCTTGGAATTAGGTTCAAGGTTTTTCTTCATAAATGTTTTCTGAAAGTTTTATGCTCTAAAATTTTCAGTGAATTTTAAGGTTAGGGTTTTTTTTTTTTTTTACCGTAAAGTTTTTAGCATATTCAAGTTTTGTGCTTTGAATTTTGGCTTGAGTAAGGAAACCGAGCTTTGTTTCTTCTAGAAATGTTAATTCTGTTTTAATTTGGACTTGGTCTTCTTCTTGGTTACCGAGAAATATAGACAAAATACAAAGACAAGAAAATTTTGGTTTATTTCCCATGTTGTTTGAGTTTTAACAATAGTAGTAGTTGAAACAACCCTTGATTTGTTTACCTTTCATTATGCATAAAAGTTCCCCTTTTCCAGCTTGTCCAGCTAGGAAGACTCCAGAATCTTCTTCGGTGTCGGTGAGTTTTTGGTGAATAACTAGCTACATTTATAATGAAAAATATAGATAGGATTGTAAAGGTTCCCGGGATATTTCTTTGTCCAGTTTGTCATTTAGATCAAACTTATCACCTGTCACTGCATATGATATTACTTCTTTTCAGTTTCAATGCTTACAAAATTATGTTTTTCTCATTTTAAATGGACGTATACTATCTTGTCATGAAATCTAAGTTGATGACTTGATGTTTTAACTTTTGATTCTCCAAATATGTTTTTAGTTATCCAAAGTACAAATTCCTCTCTGTTGAAAGGAAATTCCATCTCCGTCATTCCTGTTTGTATCGATCACTCCTTGTGTCTTTGATTCTATTCATGTAGATCTGAAGATTGTTTTGCTGGGAGTGTCATAGTTGATGATTTTTGTGAAACGTAAGGCATTGATGACTTTAAAGAAATGTTCTTAGATGTCACTTTGTCTGTAGAGATGTTGTGCATGGAGGATAAAGTATTATGAATGGTTCTCACCCATAGTTACATGATTTTCTAGACATTTATCTTCAATTTTTCAGGATTGTTAGAATCACGAGTTTTAGAAGCATTTATACTGCTTTGAGGCCAACGAAAACTGAATTTATGATGTTCTATGACAGTATATTACCAAACATCCCGCACTTTATCATATTTATAGGGCATCTTTTATGTTAAGTAATGCTTCTCTGCAACATATTTTTAATATATATATATATATATATGTTTACAGATTTTACTTCGAAATTTGACATATTATGATAAATTGACAATGAGAGAGAGCACGCTCGTTGCCATTCATGCAAGTGCGTGGATATATACAGGCGTGCTCTCTGTTATTGTCATATGATCTATACAGAGTTATTTTTTTTAATATCTCTCTTTTGTAGCTATAGCTACGAGATGATTCTTACTTTCTTATTCAGCTACAAATCTTCCAACATATCTTATGAGATACGAATCTTCTTAAGTTTGATTGACTTTAAGTTAAATAAAGCAGTTATGATCACCAACATAACATAAAAGGTGCCTTCTTCAAGATTATTAATAATCTTCCACAATATTTCAAATCAATGCACTTTTGGTTTATCATAAAGATTACAATCTACATGACCACTTCTACCATCATCATCACAATTGTTATCCAACTGGCTTAGGCTTCATTTAATCGATACTTTTGCTATTTGCCTTTTGCTTTTTCCAGTAGAAGGTGAAAATAATATATTAAAAAGTGAATTGAAAAAATGAAAAATAGCGAAAAAGCAAAAGCATAAATCAAATGGAATATTGATATCATGACCACAGAAGTCATTACAAATATGATTCCTTTTCCAATTTTATTTTCTTTTGCACTATGTTTTTCCTTTTCTCTTTCCTTAGATTGTATAACTACTTTTTCTCAACTTCTACTGAAAAGAAAAAAAAAGAAAGAAAATAGTTTGGTTTTTCCTTATCTAAAATGAAATAGTTTACTTGGATGAAGTTCCTTTGGATTTATAGGTTTATTATAAATAAGATCTCTAATGTTAATTTTATGTTTTCTTTATCAAAATTTATCATATATTTATTTAAGTTGGCCAAAAAAATTTCTAGATGGCTGTTGGTGCACTAAGATTTTGAGTCTAATAAGCTGTTCTCATAAGTTTTAGTGTGAATAATTTGATTTTTAGTTTACCATTCTCTAAATGAGATATGAACTTGTTCGTTAATCACTCACAGGATGTGGATTTGAGGGAATGAAGTTATTTACATCACTAGAAAGTAGAAATAGAAAACTTAATGAGATTTTAAATCTAAGTAGCTACATGTATTATCTATTTTTTCCAAGGATTTATTAATTAAAGTCCTGTTCTTAGGATTGTACTGTGTATCTATTAGAATAATTAGATGCAATGGTCCTCTTTTCCTCATTGCACCAATACTCACTTATATTGTTAAACTGCTTGTACCATTGTTAAGATAATATATAGGATATAATTTTGGTGTGTTGTCAGGTTTTTGTTTGTGGTTTGTGTTTATTTCGAAATCAGTTTAACTTGTTATTGTTAGTTTTGATCCATAGCAAACATTTGAAGCATATTTAAATGATGTAAACGTATCTTTTATTGCCGACATGTAAAATCAATTGTTAGATTCCTAATGTAGTAACCATTCATGTTGGCCTTTCAATTTCTTTTATTATTTGAACATTATAATATCTATTGTTCGTTTGATTCAATTGCTCTTTGTAGGCTGTACACATATCAAGGCTTATGCTGTGTGTTGTATAAATGTTTCCTCGTCGCCTTAATTTCCACTAATGTGAAAGAGAAGTTTGTCTAGGTAACTTCTTTGCCTGTACTTGCTGGATGCATCTTATACTGCACAATAACATTTATCGGTAATGTCCTTTCCGTGATAAGTAACTAACATAAAGCAGCATTAATAGTATCATTTATCCTCTCCTAATAGGATTGGCAGCTGAGTAGATTGACAGGGAAATTTCAATTGCATGACTGCTGATCGGCAATATTTTACTTTAAAGAATCAAAATAAGAATCCTGACTTTATTTTGATACTGTAATCTCAATGATATGATTGTAATCTTTGTGAGTCAGTTATATAAGATATGGTGATAGTCTAGTGATGATCTTTATTATTTTTATGCAAAATATGGCCTATGCTTGGTGTGTAGGAGTATTCTAGTGATGATTTTATATCTTCCTGGAATAGGCCTAGCAGTGGTTTGCCTGGTCTTGTTTTTGGTTTACTTAAGTTTTTAGGGCTTTTGGTTTACCGAAGTTTAGTCTTTTTTAAACTCTAATTATTTTAGGATGATAGTTTAAGTCAGTTTTGATTTTTGAAGTAATCTTAAATTCTTTATAAGTGCCAATGTGATAGTCATATTTCTCTAGGCTTTTGCTTAAGGATATTGTGAGTACTTTGTCTTATTTAGGCATGTATGCTTAGTAGGATCTTTTGAGCTCTTTGCTCGCTTCATCATCTTCTTCTCTCTTTATTGCTAGAGCATTCTCAGCATACTTTTCATAGCTTAATATACCCCTTTAAACTGCTATATTCAAATTCTACCGTTGCATGAATTTCCAGCACTCTTTTCATACTCAAACCAGAAATTGATTCCTAAACCTTAAGATTTTTTTCTACCATTGCCACAGACTCAAATTATCTCTTCCTTTGGCCCACCATCATAAGCCCTAAGAAGATAGGCTTCCCCAAAATTTGTTCTACATAATGCAAACTTTAGCATAGAAGGTATAAATTGCATGCATCACTGAATAACTGTCATGTGAAATTTACTAACAAAAATTTAGAAATTTTACTGTAGTTTCTTGATTTTGTTTGAAAAACCAGTAAATCTATTTATGAAATCTACGAGGATATTTTTATACATTGATTGACCTTATTTAGTTTGGGAAGAAGGCTTTTATTGAGCTAATATAATTGGTTTTTATATTTGTAATACATATTGTGAGGACTTGAGTTTATTTATTTTCTATAGGATAGATGATGAATAGACAGAAAAACTCCAACAAAAGCCGAAAATAAATACTAAGAATATTTGTTATTGTTGTGGTAATCAGTTGTAGGACTGATTTAAGTTAATGTTAAGTTGAAATCTTGTAATCCCTCTTTCAAGTTAATGGTATATCTCTATTGTCTTGAGTTTTAAATGCCTGCTGGTACCAATCTGATGGAAATTGCAGGATTTTAGAGTTTAAGGGTCTTACTTTACCTTTTTCTTTGTGTTATTAGCATCTTCTAAATGTTTGGATTTTTTTATTCGAATTCGATGATTTCCTATCAGTGGTCTGCATTTTTGTTCAAACCCTTTTTTGACTATGAATGGTAACAGTCTACATATATACCTATGTTTTTTTCTTTTTGAAAAATAACTACTGTTTGTTCTTTTCCTTGCAATAGAGAACAAGTTTATGAGATTTGAGTAGCTTTTATGTTTCATTTTATGAAATTTCAATTCAGGATCAGTTATGTTTTCATTGGACTTTAAAGAATTTCAACCCTAACCCTAAGTTATTGTTTAAAACCATAGCATATAGTACCAAAAAATAGTTGATATTTTCATAAATATCCATCCTTCTAAATTTTGACCTCAATTAACTCTAGAACCTAAGTTAGTTAAAACCCATATTTTCATAAATTCCTACAACATTTTTTTCTGGGATAACAGAAAATTTTTATTCACCAAAGCAAGCAGGAATGCTGAATAACCTACTATAAAGAGTGCTAAAGCTTGTAATAATAATAAAATAAAAAAAAAAAGAGTACAAAAGCTGTGGAATAGCACTGAAGCAACAGCAACCAACTGATTAAAAAAGATTAAGACAAAAGACCCCCATGAAATATCTAATCAGAACATCAAAACATCTAATATTCCCTCAAACCCCTACTTTGAAAGAGAGCTTTGGTTAAGACTTGTTGGCTATATTCAAGAAGAGCTTTAGTTAAGACTTGTTGGCTATATTCAAGAAGCAGTTGAATGTATCTTGGATAATATCAGCCATTTGAGGGGGCGGGGAGGGGGCAATACCTGAAGGAGGCTGAGGGCTTTTGCCATACTCACTGTTGTTCCTTTCTTTCGAAATAAATTAGATGTAGCCTGACCAAGCAAACTCGAGGATAATGAGGTTTTACCTTCTTATGAAAATTTTTTTTGCCAGTAAAACTAATGATCCCTGTCCCTAGTCATTACTTTTGCTGGTTCAAAAATGGTTAAAATGTTAATAGATAAAGAATATTCTGTGAAGAAATAAGGGAATATTTCACAGAATACTCTAAAATTTGACCATTCTTGAACCAAATTAGTTAGTAAAATTGCAACTATTTGATCTGTTGTTCTGAGTAGAATGGTAACTTGGAACATATCCCAGTAGTTGCGTATAAAGATTAACCTGCTCAGATTTGATTTGTAGGAAGGTTCATACTTCTTTATGCTTTAAAGGCCATTGCTCTTGATTACTTGAGCGTGGGAAGGCTTACATAACTTGTCAGAAGAGAGAACCTCTATAGGCAGAGAGTACCTGGAAATTTTCCAATATAAAATACTACTGGCTGACCACATTACAGTGTAAATTATAAAGATCTCTGAAATATGTTCATGTGGTTTAAAGCTTCTACTTATGGTTTAAGTTTTTCTTGATCAATTATCTTCCTTGTGGAGGTTATGATAAATAACCATTGATGGTCAAAACTAAGGAGTTATTTCATTTGTATCTTATGCTACAATTGGGCCTACATGAGCTACACAGAACCCACCCATATAGCTATTTGGTTTTGCTGGTTGTGAAAGAAAAGGACAAAATACTTTTTTTTTTTTTTTAAGGATTCTAGCATTGAAAGCTTTGAACCTCTCTCTCTCTCTCTCTCTTAAGGCTTTTGTAAAAAAGAGGGAAATGAAATCCCAATGTCCTTAATTATTAGTATTTTTTAGGCTTGGCATGAGAGATTTGTATACTCTCTTCTTGAACAAGGCTACATGATCAAGAAACCTCTCATTCTTCTCCTAGCATGTCATTCTCATATTGATAAACATTGAGGTAATTCCTTCATTTCGTCTCTTCCTTAAACCACATTGTTCTCTTAGAAAACTTAACTTCGTTCAAGGTTTCAAATCCTAGATTTTTCTTCTTTTTCATTTTGCTATTTACTTTTAATGTGCAACTTCATTTTCTCCAACAAAAAAAAAAAAAAGGAAAACATAAATATGATGTTGAGTTTGCCCTCTTTTATTTAGGAGGAGAAGTTTTGTGCCTATAACAACATCACAGTTCTTGTCATCTTAATTTTTCATGGCAGAACGCACCCCATTTCTAACTCTAAGCTTTAATTCAGCATAAACTTACACTGTATCTAAGTGATAATGTCGCTTTTCTCCGTTTATTTTTGTTTCAATGTATTTATTTGTAGCATGATTTTTTCTTTTTCTACCTATAAAATATATGCATGCTTACTTGCATATTTGTCTCTAATCTTACTGTTGTAGGAATCTGAAAGATTTTGCTCAGTCTACGAGAAAGTTACTGAAATAACAATGAAGGGCAAGAGTTTTAATGAAATATGAAATATTTCATAACATTAATGTTCTCGTAATAATAAAATAAAATTTTATAACGTTAGTTCCATGCAATAAAAGTTACAGAATTTATTATCATTTTTTAGTAAAATTTAAGTGTTTATTAGGATATTTTTCAGTCGTAGTTTTATGATAACAAGCAATACATGCTCCTAGATTGCCCCAACTAAATTTTTCTTTTTTCAATTCTTTTATAGCACAATAAATAAATATTAAAATGAAATAAAAAGAACTAAAAATATTCGAGGACCAAGGATAAAACCTATTACAAAGATGGAGGTGATAGGTAATTCAAGGAAAAACAGATAACACTCAAATAAACTTCAAATTTTATTAAAAATAAAAAATAAAACCTTCATTCAAATTGCAGACCCCCAAACTCCTAGAAAAATGAAAAATTGGCAGTGAAAGTGTTTCAAGAAATAAATCGACACTTTCTTTTTCTAAAGTCATCGTTGTACGCATTTGACGAATCTAAAAATTTGTCACTCGAAAATTAACCGTATCATCTGCAATGGTTAGAAAATCCATGTTAGCTTTCAATGTTATTACTCATTCTCTTCCATGGGATTTCAGTCCCTTCATTGATGGTACATGTGTTTTTTACAAGTTGAATACTTAAGTGATTTGAATAACTAGTGAGGGCACGTGAACTTAATTTCACTTCAAGTCAATTAAAAGGAAGGAGTATATATACCCAGTAAAAGAGAAGAGAACTAGAGTTTGTACATTAAACATAGCACTAATTTCAATCGTTCATTTTCTTACAAGTAGATGGTGATTCACCTCAAGTCCTCAGCCTATGATTAATATGCAGAATGAAGGAAAAAGAACAAAAAGAACCTAAGATTACAAGCCACTCTTTGGAGAGGAAATAGCATGTTAAAGAAATTTTACAGTTTCTTAGCACTATTACCTCTACAGTGCCACTCCTTTTGCTCAATTTCCCTCATACTCTGAACAATATCATCAATGTTCCTTGATAGGTGATTGGAATGCTCCTCCATTTGTCTTAATACCATATCAAGCTGCTCTTGAAATGCTGCAGAGCGCTTTCGTTCCCGTTGTAACTCTGCTGTCAATTCTCGAATCTTTACATCTTTCTCATCCTAGAATGTGCATGTGTTTGTGTGTATGACAGAGAGATGAGAAAAGAGAGCAGCAAGGTTAATTTTGTCGATAGACAACATATATTTAAGGCTATCAAAGGCCAAAAGAACTACTTAAAATTGGAAATAACTAAAAAAAGAGATTGTTGTGACCATTTCCAGGTCTAAAGCTCCAGCTGGAGTACACACAGGCACACGGATTTTTGAAATGAACACATAATTGCTCAATCAGCAAGAAAATTAGCATACCAGTCAAGCAATTCGAGTTAATCAGACTATGTACAGGTTTTGCATGTTAAGACTCAGAAGCTATTGAAGCTAAATTTCCAGCTCTTTCTGTTTGCATTAGGAAACACCTAGCAGAGAGAGAATTTTATGAACATAACAAGGGGCTTCAAGCTATGAGGAACACCTCAAGGTCAGGTTCAGATAAATGAATCTGGCACACAATTCAACAAGTGAAGGTATGCCAGTATCAAGCAAGTTGTTCGACAGTAAAATCTTCCACAATCAGCCCATTGATCAATGGAGGCTTATGGACTGCATGTGGTCACAGAACTTGAAGCTCCAATTTAACTACCAAGTCTCATTCCTAACAATCCATATATTAATTAAGAATATAATTTTCAAGAAACACAATATAACTTATAAATCAGTGGTCGCAGATACTTTTCAGCCAAATAGCTACCATTTTAAGGAATATCTAGTTCCAGATTTCCACCTCCGTCCTCCACTGTTTTAAAATTATTTCTTGTCCTTGAAATTGGAACAATATCTTTAAGTCCTTGTAAGCTAGTTCTAATGTTGAAAATCTTAATGATCTATGAAACTACAGCTAATTTCTGAAAGCTTCACTTAAATGAGTTCTGACTATTCCCTAATCAACCTACAGATTCACCTTAATGAGCCTTATCCTGTGAGAGTTTCTCCCTATGCCAACCACACTCAAATTGACCCAATTTCAAAGGCCTAAGAACAGTCAGACTCCTAGATTTTAAGGCATGGGGTCACATTTCAACAATCCTATTTTCCCAGTTTCTGTAATTAATCTTCACATAACCTTCACTGATTCTGGAATTGAGACCTAAACCCCACTTAAGGCTTTGCAAACCTTAAACGCCGCAAAAAACAACAATAAATTTGCATTCACCAATAATAGTTCAATTTCACTCTGTTTAAGGCAAAGTAAGAAACTTACCGGCGTTTGAGATAAAATCATGCTCCTACGACCATCGGTAGGAATGGGAACCAGTTGATGATTATGTTCCTTAACAAACCGCGTCACCACCCATTTCCCTGTTTTTTCTTTCTTCACCACAATCATTGCTTTACACCCTTCTCTCGTAATCGCTCTGGGCTTCCTATTTTCACTCCTTCGAGGCCTTAGCTTTCGAAACCCTTCTTTATTACATACCAGTCGACGCCAAACCACTTTGCCGTCACGCATTGAGCGGCGAAACGCATCCACACGCATGATGAATCCCACACGTGTGGCGTACGCATCGTAGAACACTTTAGCTGCTTCTTCCGACTCGAATTCCATTCCGACATACGGTTCCTCATCGGAAGTTTCTTCCACAGTAACTAACTCTTCTCCGTTTGAATTTTGTAATGTTTCAGTTTCTGCTTCTTCAGTGGAAGGATTTTCATCCACTGTAAAAAAAATTATCAAAGCTTAATGAAACTGCTTGATTTTCAGGTTTTTATTAGGTTGATTAAATTTAAGTAAAAAACAGAAAGTACTTACTGGATTGAAGACCCAAGTTGGAATCCAGGGCAGCGCAGGACACGGCGTAGTACGAAGATCAGAATTTTGGGCTTAAACTTTTAAAGAAGAGGTTTTGAAGTGATAGTACAAAAGGGAGAATCAAGTTGACGAGAGGATCGGTTTCGGTGCGGAGCAAGGTATTCGGGACTCAGCACCTTTCTGAATTCGTAAGCCTGGAGATTTTGCTCTCTGCAATAAAATTGGCTCCTTTATTTATTTATTTATTTATTTATTTTGGGTCTTGTTTTTATAGTAAAATATTATTAGCAAAAAAAAAATTATAATTTAATTTTATAATTTATTTTTAAATAATAACTATATATTTAATATAAAATAATTAAATATCATGAATAACTCTTAAATTATAATAACATATTTAATGTAATACTTTAATTTTAAATTTTTTAATATAATACATAAATTAAAAATATATTAAATAATGTAATACTCACTTTTAATATATCAATCTAAAATAAAATGATGATCAAATAATTTTTTAAGTATCATATTAATTATTAAATTTACAGTTTAAATATCATATTATATATTTTTAAAATTTAAATATCATATTAAATATTTCATTATAATTTAAGATTAATCATGATATTAACCCAAAATAAAATTATATAAAATTTAAATTAATAAAATCTCATATTAACTAATTAAAATATAAAATTTGTTTGACATATTCGAGTATATTTGGTGTATAAGATTAAAAATAATATAAGATAAGATAATATTATAAATAGAATTAAATTAAATAATATTATCATATTTTATATTTAATGTATTGGTCATGTGTGATATACAAGACTTTGATAAGATAAAATAAAATAATTTGATAAATAGGATTAGATTAAATAATATCATTTTATTTTATGTTTGATATATACAAAGATTTAGATAGGGTAATTTACTTATTTGTTAAAATTATCTTTTTTCAAAATTTATATAATTTAAATTATAGATATAATTTTTAACAATATAATTGGATATGTAAATTTAATCTCATAGATTAAAAATAATTTTATCTACTTGAAAAAGATTGAATAATCTTATACTAAGAATATATTAATACTCCTTACAATCCCTATTATTTTTTAGATACAAATCAAATATGATATAAAATAATTATTATCTTATTCTATCAATAATCATATATATAAAAAATGACCTCAACGATTAAGATAAGATATTTTATTTATTAATTAAAATTATTAATTTTTAAAATTTATATATTTTAAATTATTAATATAATTTTTAAAAATATAATAAAATATATAAATTTAATTTCATAAATTAAAAATATTTTTTTATTTTAAAAATATTGAATCATCTCATAAAAAAAATAACTAACTCTTCTTACATTTTATTACTCTTTTTAAATATAAAATAAATATAATATAAAATTAATTATCATTGATCCTCTTTTACCGAGAACAATAATTTTATGAAAAAAAAATTGTGACCAAAATATACACAGATATAAAAAATATATTAAAATTTTGAAGCGAAGTCATTGGGCCGTCAAAGTAAGAAGTGCCCTGCCTGGGGCAACGAATTGAGTGCGAGCATTTACACGGGAGACAAGCCCAGAAACTCATTGTTTGGGCAATCTACGTTTTGATCCAACGGTGAAATCCATCATTTCATATTCAGCCTTGTATTCCTTTCTGCATCGGATCAGAGAATCAGTCGCCTCTCAAATTATCTTTGAATGTCTCTCAAAAGCTCTTGATTCAGTAAGTTTTTCCCTCTATAATTTTCACGCTTCGATAATCTTTATTACTTGTTATTTTTATTATTTTTTAAATACCAACCTAAATTACCTCCAATGATTTACTCTAAATTACTCTTAACACAACCTTCTCATCTGTGTTTCTGTTCCAGATATAGGTAAAATTAATGCATGATATTTCTTTGGTTTAAGAATTTTAGGGTTTTTGTTGACAGAAACTATTGGGAAAAAATTTGTAATTTTGGAGTATTTAAGCTATGAAAATTGGTATGTTGTAGTAGCTGGATGGTGGAAGGAAGAAGGAAAGGGTTTTATATAAGATTCTGGATATATTGATTTCCAATTAAGATTGACTAGCTACTTCTATGGAATTTATTTAGCAATTTGTGCTGCATTTGTCGTCTTCGGGCCTCTTTTTTTATGAATATATCATTTTGGTTAAGGTATCGTCTCAATTCCGTTATTCATGTTCGTATCTGTGCAGCATTTGCTATTCTGTTGTTCAGTTCATCTAGAATGATTAAATTCAACAGTTACCTCAGTCAATCATATTGTCCCTTCACAAATCATATTGCAAACTCTCGGTGGAACAACTGTCTAAGTAATGGCATTCCAAATAATGGTCTTGTTGTCGTCAAGTTTCCATGGTTGTATTTTTTTATTTTGAAGGCAGGCTGTGATGCTTTTAGCTAAGGAATTGGATTTTAAGCGTCCAGCTTGGGTTCATTAGTTTATTTCCTTTATTTAGTCTTAGCCTGAATGAAAGTAGTAGGATCTATGATCTTGTGCATTTCCTTTTTTTTTTTTTCTATCATATAATTATAGCAAGTTTTATCTTTTTTATTGTTCATGTAATTTTGTACCTTTCAGCACTTTTACTTAAAACTTTCTTGTTATGAGTCCTTTTCATCTTTGAATTTTAATCCATCCCTACTAGTGGTCACTCGAATTTAATGTGCTTGTCTCACAGTTTGTATGACTCTATTGGAAATAAAATTTATGATTTGCATAGCATGAAAGGCATAATACTTTTTTTTTTCTCTTTTTAAGTCTATGAACTTGTCATATTTTTTGACATAGAAAGAGAAAACAAATATGACATTAGGTCTGATTCAATTGTTTTTTGGAAATAGTGGATTTGGACAAGGATGTTGGGATAGTAGACAGCTCAGTTAAAGAAAAAACAGCTGAAACAGAAGGAAGCGAAATCTTAGAACCATATGTGGGTATGGAATTTGAATCTGAAGATGATGCTAGGAAATTCTACACAGAGTATGCTAGACGGGTAGGATTTGTGGTGCGAATTATGCAGCGCCGTCGTTCAGGGATAGATGGGAGAACTCTTGCTCGTCGTCTAGGATGTAACAAACAGGGATTCTCTCCTAATCATAAGGGCACATTGGGACCAGAGAAAAAGCCACGTCCTAGTGCACGAGAAGGTTGCAAAGCTACTATTTTGGTTAAGATGGAAAAGACTGGAAAATGGGTTGTAACAAGATTTGAAAAGGAGCATAATCATCCTCTTATTGTCACAGCCAATGGATTCAGTACCACGGTGAATTTCTATCAAGTCTTATATAATAAAATTAGTTTAAATTGATATATATATATATATATGATAGAGTTTAAATGTCTTGAACTTTGCTCTTATATAAACAGATGTTGAGATCATTGAGTTTCTTCCTTTATTTTTGCTGTTTTTACTTTCTTTACTTATTAAGTAGAATGTTCCTCTTTCTAGATTTCATGTTTTTGGCTTTATGTCTAATTGTTTGACATGGCCAATTTCAGCTTATGTTATTAATATTATATATGGGAGATTTTTTTTGTAGATAATTTAAAATTGTAGAATATGTTGTGTAGTAGGTGAAAATTTCCTTCATTGGGATTAATGACCATGATTGAAATTTGGGTCCCCATTTTCCTTAATGAATTGAACTTAATTCCTGCTTAAATTTGATTGCTAAGATATGAACTATTTGTGTTGTGTACCCATTGATTAAAGCTGGCGATGGATGATGTTTTAATGGTGGCAACTTGTGGTGTTATAACTTGTGCTTTTGTTCCTTTGAATTGTTTGTCATTGAAATGTCCCTGGAAGCTTTCTAATTATAAAATCGTGTATCAAATGAAAATACATGCTACTTTGTGTTGGGCTAGGATGGTTGATGTCATGCAATAGCTTCTGGAAAAGTATGTGTGTGCTGAGTGTACGACTGTATATGCACTTCGCATTGTCATAAGTATTAGCTTCCTTTAGAAACTTATTGAGGTGCGTTTGTCTGATATGCTGAAGGATGATTGTTTGCTGGTAAAAGTTCTAGGGAACTTTTCTGTGCTTCTGTTGTAAGCCAAACTAATTACTTGCATGGTGATTGTTAAATATCAATAGATTTGCATAATGGCCATTCAATAGTGTCTTTTCCATTTTCGATCACTGTTGCTGCAGCAAATGAGTGATTTGTTCATGTTTTTAGGGTGATAAGGACAAGAAAATTGAAGAGCTCACAATGGAGCTAGCACGCCAGGAGCAATTATGTTCAGCTTATCGAGAAAAGTTGTTCACTTTTATGAATAATGTTGAGGAGGAAACAGAAGAGCTATCTTCAAAAATTCAAGTTATTGTCGACGACGTTAGGAAGCTTGAAGCTGAAAGGCAGAGATTTTCACACCGTAGATAGCCTTCGCATTCATCTTGACTTTATTTATGGTCAGATTTGTATATTTGGTTTCTTGGAAGCTTTTAATCATGTATAGAATTCTTTAGAATCGTTTTGTTGTAGTCAATCTTATAAACATTTAAATTTGTGCAATGAACCTTAAAGTATTCTTGTTAGATGAAATGGAAGCTCCATGATTCTCTCTCTCACATTGGGTTGATTTTTGGCAACAAAAAAGCGGGTAAGGCTATAGGCCTAGAAGAATAAAACCTTTTTTTGCCAGTACTAGGAGCAACCCTGTCTGAAGATACAGGTTAGCAGCCAGAGAGACCTGCTACTAAACCCATGAAATGTCATCATTGGCTGACATGACTATGATCAGTTGAAAAAAATGCTAGGACAATGGAATCGAAGGTCTTAAAAATGTTGCTTTCATTGAGGGTCAAAATTCACGAAGTTTCATCCTACTTTTGGAGATTTTATAACCTTTGTTTGAGATTGCCCTTTGCAAAGTAAGCCAACCACGGTGAACATCACTTTTTTATTAACATATAGTATTGATGGCTTTCCCAAATTAAAAAAAAATAATAATAACAACAACAATAATGACAAAAACATAATTCTTATTCCTTATTCCTTAGACAACAAAATCCAAATCTTTAACAAATTTACTGCTATGTTAGACAAATCTTTATGCTAAGTGTCAAGACTTGAGAGAACCCTGCTCATTAATTTGTGTCATTTAGGTAAAGAGATTAATAGATTTGTCTCTGTGTTATGGAATAGGAAATAGAGCCTCAACATTGAAATTGGCTTGTGAATTGACCAAATCATTGGTTATTGGGATATTAAAATGAAGCCAAATTTGAACATTTAGAGGGCATTATATGGCATTTAATCAAGTTTGTATCGACACTCTTGTTATTAAGAGTGAATGGAATTAAATTTCTGCATGATCATGTTATTTAGCTTTGTTCTTGAGAGGATTTAAGACTCCTCGGTAGTCTGTAATACTATTTTATCTATTCGGTCATCATCCGGTAAGAATTTGAAATGAGCAACCTTAGGTAAGCAATTTGACATGCTTTACACATTTTGTTCTAGAAAAATGTACTGCACTCTGGTGATTCTCGACAGCCAAGTTACCAAAAACTCAAGTCAAGCATCAATATGATGATTCCCATAAAAGTACTGCATCCTCCCAATGCATTAAGGACTCTATGCAATCAACCCTCTCAACATGGGAAGCCGAGTAAACAAACATCTACAACAGCTATTTTAAGAATTACATTAATTATGTTCCCTCCTATCTCCTCTTTTTCTTTAAGAGTGAGGCAGCACGTAGAAATATCTACCTCGTCAGTGAGCTAACATCTTTCTCCGATGGTGTGGGAACTTTTGAGACCATTGAGATTTTACACAGGAGCTCGTCAAAATCTTCAGGTTCCCCATCACTTTCTACTGGAAATTTGTCAAATTCATCCAAATAAAGCGGCCACTCTTCCCTCTCCTCTTTCTCAGTGCTAGATTCAGTCTCAAAAATATCTGACAAATCCTCACAATCTGAACCATAAGCGAATCTGTAGTGGATTCATTTTCAGAAAGTTCCTTGCTCTTATCCAAAATTTCTTTCAATTTCTTTAACCTTCAAAGTGCATGCTTCAAATCTTCCTAGAATCCTCATTGCAATTATCAGTGTTTTTGCACATGTTGCATAGGATCAGGTCTATTTTCAGCTTGAGCAGCTTGAGCATATAACTCAAGGTCCCAATCAAGCTTTGGGATATACTTCCTAACAGCTCGAAGGCCATCCCTATATTTGGGTTTATCCAGAGCCTGTACAACAGGTATGGAAAGAAAATGATGTGAAAGCAAATTTAGATAATTAAGTATGAACATCAAAGACATTCAAGCTCTCTATCCGACAATCTACCAAATGGGAGCTTAAATAGTAACATGCTTGATCTGTGTTAAGAGAACATTCTCGAGGCTTGGGTGAGAGTCATACGTGACCAATTAAAATAATCTCAAACAAGAAACAACTTAAAACTTTTCTGAGATATAGAAATCAGTTTAAAGTGACCTAGGCTAGTCAACCATGAGTTAATGAAAATATATGCTAATGCAATATTGGTAAGTATACCGTCAACCAGAGATAATAGCAGTATGTTGCCAGTAATTTTGCAAGTATTTTTTGACCAGTGGCATTTTATGCTCAGTGTAAAAGTTATTTCTGCAGTTCCCAAAATTAAAGTTTCCTTATTTGAGAAAATTAAATGTAACTGGTTCATTTCCATTCAATGCTTCTATACCTAAATGACTTCAATATCCGGTTGTGTGAACTGACCAAGAACCCTGGCCAAAAAGAAAAAGAAATGACCAGGAACCATTCCCATATGTATTCTTTATGGGAGAAAATAAAAGATTTTGTCATGTTCAGGAAATGTTTCCACTTAGTATGCCATATGGTAAAGGGCTCAGTAAACTGAAATTCTCAATTCCATTCTTTAGATTTTCAATATTAGGATGAAAAACAAACCAAGAAAAGATAAGGAGAGAAGAAAGACCTTCTATCTAGAAAGAGTGACCCTGGGTGACATAAATCTGTGTAGGTGGTTGAGAATAATTCTGCCCTCAGTACGTGATTATTGAATCATCTTCATGAATGTCAAGCACAATTCCACCTGCAATCTTGCAAGCTCAGCTGCGATCTCCTTGACTGCCTCTGGTGAGAATGTCTTAACCAACACCTTTAAAGTCTGATGTTTCTTCCAGTGAAGGTGCATGTTCAAAATTACTCCATGGTAAATTCCTCGTCTTCCAACTGGCACATAATTTTTGCACTTGAGGCCCATCTTCAGAAAGAAAAAGTGCTCTTCTGGAGTCAATATTTCTGGATCATGGGTTGTTTCTCATGATTCTGCAGGCTCAATCTTATTTAAAGCTGTAACAAGTCTTTCTTCTTTCTTTCGAGCCTGAAGAACAAATGGAGGAAATGCACATTAAAAAAGAGTTAAGAAAGAGAAGAATAGCTACTAGCTTATAAATGACTATCTAGAGAAACATCCCAACTTCAAAATCACTCATGAGAGAGAGAAAGAGAAAGAGCGCTGGCTTGAATTCCCCTTATCAATATGTAAGCATTTTGTAGAAAAACTGGGAGCTTACCTTTCTAAGTTTGTAAAGAATTTTTTCTTCAGCTGTCATTCTCTCATACTCTTTCTTCTTCTTCCACCTGACGAATTTTAACCACCTTACTACAGCTTGTTTACCCTTCAATTTCTTCCTCTTCACCTTACCGTTACCACTACAAGCATAATCAAAAACAACTTTCTCAGAATGGTTGAGTGTCCCAACATTTTTTTCAGAAGCATGAAATGGAGCTGAATGAATCCATACACGCCTCTCGAGCAGAAACCTCTTTTTGTCATAGATTGGGGCAAAAGCCTGCTGTCGACCAAAAGCCTTGCATATAACATTAGCCAAACTACTGAATCGTTAGCAAATCCTCATTCAAATTCTTTAAAGATTTGTCTTTTTTTTTTTCCTAACAAAAATTTCAGATTTAAAAACATATACAAATAATTGCAAATCATGAATACTTCCCCGATTCTATGAAACAGAGGAGCAAAAGTTAATAAGGTTTAAAATTAAACCAAAGTCAAAGGGTTCTTAGTTGGATCAAAAACAAACAGCGGCCCCAAGTTACAATTGTTAAAGTTTTACAAGAAAAGGACCTCAAATTCCTAAAAGATGTTATTTCAAAAGCAAGCAGAAGGTCTAGGAATCCATCAATATTACATTAAGTTTTATGAACTCAAACTGTAACTTCAATCAAGATAAAAGCAACCCATTTAATAACAGTCCCAAAGCTGACTTATTGCATGTTCAGAGCATCCCAGATTGCCAAAAACCAAGCTTCTATATGATAAAAGAAGTGGATTTTCTTCAATGAATTAACACGTTTCCACTCAAAACCAATCACACTGGCACCAAGAAAAGAACACCCATTTGGTGACTAAGAAAATGATACCAGCTGAGAAACTCTAAAATGTCATAACCAAAAAAAAAAAAAATCTAAATCCCATTACAAGAACAAATACGGAGAGAGATACCCGGTTATGTGAAGGGTGTTATTGAGAATGGAAATGAATGAATTAGAGCAAAGAAACTTGAGCCTATGATATTTACGCAGACCCATTGAATCTGAACCTACAACCCTCCCCGTCATTTCTGTTTCTTTCTGGGTTTCTGTCTTCTTCACTCTCTCTCAGTCTCGGCTCAGCTTCTGGGTTCGCCTTTATAAGCAGTGAAACAATTTGTTACAGGCCTGCACGCACGTTTCGGCCCGTTTGTTTCACTAGATCATATATTGTAAACGAAAATATTGATATTCTCAAATTTTAACATCATTAAAAAATCATTTTATACATTAATAGGTAGATTTTTAAATTCTACAAACGAATTTATACGATGTTTTAAAAATAATATTTCATGATATTTGACTTTTGAGTTTTAATCAAGATTTTCCATAAATCTTAAGATTATTTGATCATATTTTATATATAAAATGACAAATAAGATAAGATAATAATTATTTTATATTATATTTAATTTATATTTTAAAAAAGATAGTATTATAAAAAGATTAATTATTCTCTTAATTATAGATAATTAATCATCCTCTTGATATAGGATGATTCAATTTTCTTAAAATGAAAAGAATTATTTTTAATTTATGAGATTAAATTTATATGTTTTATTATACTTTTAAAAATTATATCAATATTTTAAATTATATAAACTTTGAATAATGATAATTTTGACAAATAAATAAATTAATCTATTCTAATCTTTACATACATCAAATATAAAAAAAGATAATATTATTTAATTTAATCATATTCATAATATCATCTTATCATATTACATTATAATTTTATGTACTAAACATATCTTTTATATCTCAATTAACTTAGCAAATTGACACTTATTAAAAAAAAAAAAAAAAAAAAACCTTAACACGTTGACAGAAAAAAGATAAGAGAAACCCTCGATTTGCATTTATTGAAGTGTTCAAATAGGAATTAGAGGAAGCATACAGACGATATATATACACAAACATTAATGGCAAAAATCTGCCACATATGATGCTAGGAGTTGATGAACGAGAAGCCTAAACCTCAATAATGGGCTACTAATACAAGTCTCCAGTGCAAAACAAATATCTACCAAATATTTTAATTTCAAAGCTCAAGTAATACAAATTAGTGCATCAAAATCATGAATATATGAATCATAAAGGAAGAATTAAACCCCATTTCCACCTAGACAAACTGAACAATAATTCATGACCAAATTAGAAATTAATTAAACTAATAACAATTTGGATAGAAAACATTGCAAATTCATTTTTTTTTCATTATCCTATAACGTTTCTTTTGACTCTATATATATATTAACTTGAACTCAAGGCAGCAAAGCCACCACCTTTCATCATCTGCTTGAACTCCTTGAAATTGACCATTCCATCGCCATCCACATCCACCTTCTTTATCATCATCTTGCAATCCTCTATAGTTCTTCCTTGCTTCAGCCCCAAAGATGACAAAACCGACCTCAACTCCTCAACCGTGATGAACCCATCTCCATTTTGGTCGAAGACGTTAAATGCTTCCTTCATGTCCTCCTCCTCGTCCCTCTCATTCATTATCGTTTGATACAATGCACCAAATTCATCAATATCCACATAACCATCTCCATTCACATCAATCTTTTCGATCATTTGGGTTAATTCTTTATCAGCAATAAAGATTCCCAAGTTCGCTAGCGAGTCGTTAAGCTCTTTCTTTGTGATCTTGCCATCTCCATTCTTATCAAACATTTGAAACACCCGGCGAAGCTCTGCTGGATCCATTCCTTCCATCAAACAGTGAATATAAATAAACCCTAACTAAAAACAACTTGCTTGAAAGTTAAACAAGCTCGATCTCAATAAAAAAAAAAAAAAAAAAACCCCAGAGCTACGGAAAGCGGGAACAATGTTTAAAAAACTATTTAGTACAAAAAGATGATTGGAATGACAGATGGGAAGGGTAAAGGAAAATTCAAAGGGATTAAGTGGTTCTGGTTGTCAAAGAATGATATGAACAAAAAGGAGAATAAGCGGTGATTGTTGTTTACATCTGTTTTGTTGAGCAAAAGGTGGAGAAAGAGAAGGGTTTTTAAGCATGCACCGCTAAAAAAAGGTCTAATGAAATCAAATGGTTTTTAACAATACGAGGGGCTCTTGTTTTGGGAATTTTTTTTCTCTTTTTTGTGCGTGCGAAAGGCGTTTCTAATTTAAAACTCATTGATTTAGGCCTAAAATTAGTGTACTTTCCTAACATATTCGGATTAAATTTGGTATATTTGTAGTTAGATGCTAATTTTGATTATTTTAAGAATTAAACAGTTAGTTTCTGTTTTGGTATGTTTTGGAAGTTAAAAGTTGATGAAACGAGGTTACGATGCTGGACACTTGGAGAATTACCGTTGGCATAAAATTATAATTTTGATTATCTAATTTTTCAGTAATTAATTAAAATGTTAACCCCCCTTCATTTATATTTTATTGTATAATTTAACGCATATTAATATTTGTTGTATAAGAAAACATATTCATTTTGATGTTATCAAACTCTTTTAATGATAGCAACATAATTATGAAAGAAAATCATCACTATAATATATGTCAAAAGCGAAAATTTTGTATTAACAAAATTTTATTCATGATTTATATTCATATCTATTGAAATGATTTTATATAAGCATACCTTAGAACAAATAGAATTTTGCCCTCACTCATTCTTTCTTTTCTTAGTTTCTTTCCTAATTCAATTTAGTCAAACAATAATTTAATTTTTCTTATTTTTTATTATTCTTTACTTTTTGAAGTAAATAAAATAAATTATATACAAAAATAAAATAGCCAAATTGTAAAATATAGAAACGAGTCATGCATCTCAATAATTATAGAATTTGATCCAAAAACCAATTCAAATTGGACTTGGATGGATCCGGCTTGATTCTGATTCAAGTCAACCCGCCTCCCTTTTTTTTTTTTTTTCAAACTTTTTTCTTTACTAAAACAATGTATTTTTTGTGAAATACGAAAAGCTAACTCTAAGCGCTGTGTTTAAAACTCTTTTTTTTTTTTTTTTCATTTTTTTGAAGATAAGAGATTTGTCTCAAGAAAGATGAGGAATGAATAATTGGATTACATCGTCTTGATTTATATTTATAGTACAAAACAACAGTTGATTTATAAATATTTGAGGCTTTTCAAATTGCAAGACAGAATTCGCAAGAGAATGTTGATAATATGAAGCAATAATGCTTAGAACTTGAAAGATTGATTCGTCTTTTACGTGGGTATTAGGTCTCGACATTTTTTTACCTGAAATTTTTCTAGCATTATTAGACAAGATCTCGAAGTTCCCATTTTCTATCTAGAAATATGAGAATATATTTCCCTCCAGCTTTATCAGAAATTACTATCCGGTCTTGATTCAAGTCAGGATTTTAAGAAAAACATACCCAAAAAATAATAATAATAAGTCTTGAGAATTCAAGTTGAAATCTCTTTACAAAAAGCAAAAATGCAATTTATTTGGTCGAAGGAAAAATCGGAAAATGTATTCCAACCATGTGCCCAAAAAGATCACCGAAGAGGGATCTACTGGACGAGTATATTAGAAATCAATTAAATTGATGATATAGCAAACGAAGAAATTGCCTCAAAACAAATATGTCTTTTACAACAGCTTTGGGACAGAGTGCGTTTGCCAAAGATTACTTTTCAAATAACAAAAAAAATGAAACGAAGGGAGAGGCAAAAAGAGACGTATCTGGGATGAAGAGAAAGAGAATATGCCAGTAGGAAAAGGGCCTGAAAATCAAGAAACAATGATGAGATTCAGGTGAGTGATACTGGCTGAGTTTACATGTCGCAAGTATATTTCAAGTATTTGATTGAGTGGGTCGTTCGTTTCCATCTACACCCAACCAAGAAGCTGACTTGCTTTACCATTCCTACCAGATTTCTTTTTTAAAAAAGAGGCATAAAAGAAAAACACTTCGAATTACAAAAACTGTGTTCCACCCTGAATAGAGAAACACAAGCTGCAGAAGACGACATACGGAGAAATGTAGGGTGGAGAGAAAAACTAAATATAAGGATAGTAAATTAGGGTTAGGGTTTCTCGACGTTTTAGACTTAATCATGGATTAGGAGCTTTGGAAACAACCTATAGGCCCCAAAGGCCCAAATTTACACCTAGACTCGAGCTTTCGGAAACATGATCCAATCCAGCACACAATTAAAAAAATATTTGATTTTATTTTCTATACTCCGTCGAATTTGAATTTATTTTCTGTATACAATCGTTCAAGTTTTTTAACTTCGAGTTCAAAAGACTGTCATGTATATTACTTTTAATAGACTGTCATGTATATTACTTTTAATTTTTTTAATTATACACTTAAAAAAATATGTTATAATCTTTTAATTTCGTTGGTGAAATTAAAAATTAAAACTTCATCAATGGTGTATATTCTTATTTTTATTTCTTTCTATCTATTTTCCTCCAAAATATCATTTCCTTGAGTATATTTTTATGATCCAAACATTACAATAAAAAAAAAACCTTGTAACTTCTTTTTCTACCATCAAAATGTTTATTGGTGTCAATCAAGGCAGTCCACCACAGAAGTCAAAACTCAAAAAACAGAATAATTTGACCAAGGAGAATTGACCAATTCCGCATTACTTGTAACACTGTCAAGGCATGAACAATGTGTGAAAATATACATCCACAGTGGTTTAAACAAGGTCGATAACACAGGTTGAATTTTTTTAAATCAAATTCTATCCACTAATCTGCGAACCAAAAAAGAACAAAAATGACACTAATAACACCAATGTTGCAGCCAATTTTCTGGGGACAAAGAAATTTGTTGAACAATATAAAAAAAAGAGTCACACTAAAACTCTTCTACAACTTGAATTGCTAAGATGATTCAGCATTAGAAGAGCATTAACCAATATTTTTGAACAACGAGTAAATCACCTAGGACAATGATTGTATGTGTGGAGCTTCTGGTGCGAAATCTATCTTCCTGCAGACTTTAACATGACAGAGGATTAACATGCCGAGACAACATTAAAATTTAGCACAAGGGAAAACTCGTTAGGAGAAGAGGTCATGCAGCCAACAATCTATATGATCAAGAAAATAACTGAATTTATTGACATAATAAGGATGAGTTATATTGGGTAACATAAGTGGATTTCAGCAATTTCACTCTGTAACAAAGCTTTCTAGAACCAAGGTATATTAAGCATCCAAGTGTATACTGTTGTCATTAGGTTCTCCATCCTGAAATTTGGAGTATAGCTAACATTTTCTTCTTTTTTTTTGGGCCCAAAATGCTAGGAGCACCATTGAAAATATTACAACTGTGCGAAACAAGCAAAAGTGACGGCAAACCAGACTAGTTGAAAGGCATTATTGCCCACAATGCGCATCGACCAAGTTGTTAATTGATGAGCATCCTAGCCATCTTACCTGATTAAAAAATTTTCTTTTTCCTCCACTATTCTTATCTACCATAAGATTAAACCATATCTTGTAGTCCAAACTAACAGACTAAATTGTAACAATATTGAAGATTACATTACATGATATAAGGCATGTCAATGAGATCTACTTTGGGTAAAAAAACATTAGGAGTATATCTTGAGATATACTTTGAAAACCTACGTCTAATTTGAGAACAAAGTTAGGATCAACATTTCAAAAGGTAAGAAAAAAAGACTGACATTAAACAAACTACAGACATTTAACCTAGTGGAACTCAAAATAAATTTCTATCTAATGCACCACTAACTTGTTAGGGCAAAAAAGAATCCACTTTTACTAGGAAATAGAAATTCCTTTTAGGATTAATAGTACAAAGCCTGAACCAAATTCTTCTCATCTTATTCACCCATTTATCAAAAGCCAAACCTTCAGTTTTGAATAATAACAAAAGGAAAAGCACTGTCAGGAATAGAAACAATAAAATTCCCAACCTTTCAACTCTTTACCAGCATTAAAATGCATCTAAAAGATGGCCTCTAACTTGGAATGCCTGAGTAATTCAACTTATATTAGGAATTTCTTTTGCTTGTAACCTATATTTTGAACCAATCAGACCTAATGCATCTCTGCCCTATACTTTTGTCACTTAAGCCAATGCGGCAAGGCTTAATTGAGATCAATGATCAGGTCAACTGTTTGAGGCAGTAAACCATCCCGTATTCCAATCAAGTGAAATGATGATGCAATTTCTGTCACTAGCCAGAAAAGTCAAAATCTCCGTAGTCTGATGCTATACTTATCCAATTCATACCATGCATGAGGTCACTAAACATGAACACTCCCTTTGCTCATAATACATTGCACTACGTAAAATTACACCACCTATAATCAATTAATATAAACTAGGCTTGCTGAGTAATTAAAGATCACAAATTAAACATTTAGGAATAATGTACCAGAAAAGTTTTCAAGCAAATGAACCTCCACCAAACAACTCTGATGCCTCGAATTAACGATCAGACACCTTCAAAAGAAACAATCATGCTGTTCTTCATTTGCTACAGCTCTAGAACATCTATCAACCTACCTAATCTTCAATATTTGATGAATAATGTCACAGTCATTTCAATCAAAATTTCTAGCAATTTCCCTCCAGAAGGGCTCACACAATTCCAACACCTTCAATCCTTCTTCTATCATAGTCAAGCCACAGAACCAACCTCTAGTCGGTGAGAGGCCGGGTCGATCAGCCCGCTGTTAGTCAAGGCACAAAGTAAGGCCTGGCCCGCAAAACCCACTACCTCACGCTTCTGGCATTCTGGGTCGATGGCGAAGAGCTTGACGATCTGGTCGGCAACTTTTTTGAAGGAGGACAAGGTGGCGGAGGATCGGGTGAGGATGTGAGGATAGTGCTGGGAGACGGTGGATTTGGGAGGTGAGCTTTTGGAGTGCTGAAATCGCCATTTTTTGCGGGAACAGAGAGAGAGATTGAAGGGAGGTTCAGTTCAGTGGGCCGTTCAGAGATGCTTTTGTTTTCAGCAATTTGATTCGGTTAATAGGAGCCTTTTTTGCAAACCGGGTTCCCTGCTGTACCTAACAACTAACATCACGTTTCCCTTTTAATTTTAAAAAAAAAATTGGAAAAAAAAAAATCTTTAGCGGTGTTCAGTTCGCAGATTTTAATTTTTTTATAAAAAAATTTAATTTTTTGTTATTTGATTTTTTCATTTAGTTCAAAATTTTTTTCTCTTACCGAGAATCTTATATTAAAAAAAAAAAAAAACTCTTTTCTCCTTAAAAAATTTTTAGATTTACGAGAAAAAATATAATTTTTGCCCCATTTATCGTCCTTTTATTACATTTTAAAATTATATAAACAACCTTACTTACTTTATAAATATAGTACTTTTATTTTTTTAATTTAATTTTAAGAATTCAACAACAACAACATTTTAAAGATAAAAAACATAATTTTTGTTAAAAATATTTTAAAAAAATTATTTTACAAAATTTAATAAAAATGTTTTTAAAATAAAAAAGAGGCTATTGCTGAAAATATGAAAAATTTTAATTTTTAAAAATTCTTTAGTTCTAATGAAGGCAATATTTTTAAAATTAAAAACACAATGTTTGTTAAAAATATGAAAAAATTTATATTATGAAAAAATTTTGTTTATTACATATAAAATTTATCATTATATATATTATATGCACAACAAAACTTAAACTAATTTTACTTAAATAATTAAATAAAAATATTAAATGAACGTATTATGAATATCACTTGTTATTAAGTGTTATAAAAAATAATATAATAAAAAATTTTATTAGATAATTTTACATTCTTTTAACTAAATACAAAAATCTTATATTCAATTAACAAAACTGATATTATTTTTCAATATCATTTTATTCTGAAATCACTTTTTCTTTTAAAATTTAAAAACCTTTGAACTAAATGCCCTCTTACAATATTTTTCACAAATGTGTGTTTTTAGAAAATAAAACTGAAAAAGTTTTAATTTTATGTAGAGTTTTTAAGTAAAATTTTTTGTATTTGTTTTGTTTTAAAATTTTGAAAAATAATCATTATTAAAATTCGAATGTAAAATCACTTAAAAATTTTATGTTGAAACGATTGAATTAATTAAAATATTGATTTTTTGTAATTTACTATTAAAAATGATGATAAATTAATAAATTTCTTCCCATAAATTATTAGTATAACATGTAAAAGAAAAATCAAATCGAAAATGTTAGTGTAAATTTAATTAGTGGTCATTAAACAATTACAAAAACTCTCGATACAATTTATGTAAAAATTATCTACTATATTAATCCAACAAGATTCCATATTTTTACTCAGGAAGGAAGTTTTGAAAATTTTAAGTTTTAGATTCAATATTTACTTATAAGGATTTAATTTAAATTTTTAAGTTTTAAATTCAATTTTTACTTGCAGGAGTTTAGTTCAATTTTATGCTGATTCCGCCATTAGCAACATCATGTCAATTACTACATTTTTAACAGTAAGGAAAGCAAGCAGAAATCACGAAGGTGGGAATTTGTCAGAAGTGCCGAACAAGAAAACTCATCGGCAGGCAATGTATTAGATTCCAAACCAGAGAACGAAAGCTAAGAACATTCCCGCGCTAGCGACAGCAAGCTACCTGGCTCTCCTTCCTTTCTTATATCCATATATATAGTACTATTTTCTCAAACTGAAACCACCGGTGGTGATTTTCACAGGAGCAAACAAATATGAAAGAAAATGTGGGTTGTTGCTGTGGAGTACTGCAAACATGTTGCCATCGCCCTGACCCTAAAAAAGACATTATCAAGGGAATTTTTGAGATTAATCACAGCCCTTGGTTCTCTCTCTTTGCCGTTGGACGATCAGTTGCTATTCGGATTTACAGCAGCGATAAAGTGGATCAAAGTAAGTTAAATTCATCCATGCAATAAATTATCAAATATGTTTTGAAGGAAAGATATGAGATGAGGATTATATGGTATACTCTAATAATTAAATTGATAATTTAGTACTTAATTACAATCATTAATCTTATGCAGGCACTAGGAAAGGGTCAGAAAGTGACAACGCATACCTACTCCAAGGGAAAGTGTTAGAAAGAGAAAAGCTTCCAATCATGGAGGGGAAGATGAAGCTGCCAACGAGAATAATCAAATTTGAATTGAAGTTCGAGGTGGATCGAGGGTTCGGGACTCCAGGCGCTTTTGTTATAGAAAACAGAGACAAGCATGAGTTCTTCCTCAAATCCGCCACTCTTAAGTACAGTATTCCTGATTATGGCAAGCGGGAGTTCCGTTTTTACTGTGGTTCCTGGGTGTACCCCCTCCACAAGACCGGAGTTAAACGGGTTTTCTTCACAAACCAAGTATGTTAACATATATATCTTCTTTAATTATTTCTTTTTTTTTTTCCTGCCTATAAAATCAATTCTTCGCACTGTTCACAATATTTACAATTCTAAAGAAAATTTAGTTAGTACTATAATTTTTTACGAAACCAATTAGTACGTACGGTAATTTTGATATTAACTTGAGCAATCAGTTGTTTATATATCGTTGCCCTCCTGACAGTTATATCTTCCAAGCGAAACACCTTCCGGTTTAAAAGAATTGAGACAGAAAGAACTTCAGAAATTGAGAGGAGGGTCGAAAGGTGAGAGGAAACCATGGGATCGAGTGTATGAATATGATTACTATAATGATCTTGGGGATCCTGACAACGGCCGAGAGTACGCTCGGCCGATTTTGGGAGGTTCTACTGACTATCCATATCCACGAAGGTTAAAAACAGGCCGCCCCCCTTGCAAGAATGGTATATACTGTATATTAAGATATAATCCATTTTAATTATTTCCTGTTAAAAAAATTTTTTAAGTTAAAAGAGTTGAGAAATTATGACAAAAGTTTCTTCTTTTTTTTTTTTTTGAATTTCTTCTTTGGCTTTTGTTGTATTTGTTTTATACAGACCATTCAGCCGAGTCTCGGCCAGCCAGCTGCTTTCAAACTTATGTTCCACCTGATGAGCGATTGAGCCAAGAGAAACAAGAAGAACTCACAAATAATGTCGTTGATGCTCTTCAGCGATTTCTTAGCCCAAAGACAGATCACTCAAACCGGTGGTATCAAGAATGTCCCGATCTCATTAAGAAAATTGTACATTTCTTTGTTCCCAGGGGTGCATTTTCAACTGGAGATTTTAGGATTCTTCAGTCTATCGTAGATTTCTTTAGAAGAAACCCAAAATCACCATCCCATCAAGATACCGGCAGTTCAGATCCAATTGATGCCATATTAGACATTTTCTCAGAGAAAGAAGTAAAAGAAATAGATGGTTGGGTCAAGCAGAAGCTGGAAAAGTTGGTACCAAAGGAAATTTTTAACAAAGTTGTTGCTACTTCAACCAAAAGAAACATTTTGAACTCACAATTACCTTCAATTATAGCAGGTTAGGTAGCCATTGAATTTGATCTTAGCATAACTGCATCTCCAGGTTGGAGTTGGACATTCTATTTATTGACTGATGATATTCTTCGTCCTGCCTGTTGTTGTCAGAGGAAAAATTTGCATGGGGTGAGGATAATGAATTTGGACGCCAAATGCTTGCAGGAACCAATCCAGTTCGAATCCGGTGCCTCCACTCTTCCCCCCAAAATAAGGTTTCGTATAGATTAGTAGTAGTAATATTTTAGCCCTGGAATAGTTTGGCATCTCCAACTTAAAAAACCTTGCAGGAATTCTCACCTTTGAGCGGGCCAAATCAGCTGCCTGATGAGGTCCTGAATGCTTCTGGTGTTGAAAAGGTAAACAGAGAACAATTTTTTTCAAGATAGCGTATATAGCATATAGTTGAATGTAGATTGTAGAGATTTCCTTATATAAGATCTACCTGGTTTTTTTAGTTAACTTCCTAAATATATGCTATATATGGCAGGCAATGCGTGAAGGTAAGGCATACATCTTGGAGCACTATGACTACCTCCTGCCATTTCTAAACATGATAAATGGAAAGAGTGTTTGCGCTTATGCAACTCGAACAGTACTAGCAGCGGGCTCAACGATGGACACATTACAGCCAATAGCAATAGAACTTCGCTTGCCTGACCCCAAGAGCAACATAGTTTTTTTTCCCGATCATTACCTATGGGAGCTTGCAAAATTTCACGTTGCAGCAAACGATGCAGCTTACCACCAGTTAGTTAGCCATTGGCAAGTAGTAATTAATTTCTTTACTATATATAATCAAGATAGGTCCTACTTGACCGTAAATTTTACTTGGGACCAGTTGAAATTTCTAGTATTTCTTAAGAATAGAAGTTTGAATTTTCAATCATTACAATAGTTTCAAGCCTGATGTTTTATTTATTTATTGTCTATTTTCCAAACAAGGTTGCATACTCATGCTGTAATTGAGCCATTCATTATTGCCACTAGAAGACAGTTGAGCGTGATGCATCCAATTCATCGGCTATTAGATCCTCATTTCAAAGACACCTTGCATATAAATGAAATGGCTCGAGGCTTCTTCCTCAATGCGGAAGGAATTCTAGAGACGACCCTTTTTACAGGTGAATTTTCCATGCAATTGTCTTCCCACTTGTATAAACAATGGAGGTTTGAAGACCAAGCCCTTCCAAAAGATCTTGAGAAAAGGTAATTCATGAATCAAACTTCTATTGCTTCATTTGGTAATTGGCAAGTATATATGTAGGGATAGATGGCGCTGGAATTACTATCAATTAAACAAGGGTGACAAATTGTTATAGACATTAACGTTCCAAGAGTAATGATTTGATCTACAGAATTTACCAAAAGAAATTATTTCATCTTTTGAAAAGTGCTTGTGTTATTTGTTTTTCATTATTGATCAATGTGGCAATTGGTAAAACTCATTTCACTCGATTTAACTATGACAATAACTTTTCAGAGGTATGGCCAAAAAAACAGGAGAGAGTGTCAGAGATAAAAATGTCTCGGAAATAAAGGAGAAGCCAGCAGAAAAGAAACCGGAGAAAATAGACAAAGATGGCGATCTGGTAGAGAGAGACGAAAGTCTGGAAGAAATAGACGAGAATGTGGTAGAATTAGACGAGAATCCACCAACAGATAAGGCTCCGGATGAAAAGGTGACTTTTCCCGCTGGGGTGAAGCTCGTTTTAGAAGACTATCCCTATGCTAAAGATGGAACTGAGATATGGGATGCCATTGAGACATGGGTCAGAAAATATTGCAAAATTTTCTATAAAGACGATGATGCTTTCAAGAAAGACGAGGAAATCAAAGAATGGTGGTCCGAAATTAGAGATGTAGGCCATGGTGATCAAACAGAAGGGTGGTATGATCTTACAGCAAGTGAAGACCTCGTAAAGGCTCTAACAACTATCATATGGATTACTTCAGGTTTGCATGCTGCAGTGAACTTCGGGCAATATGCATATGCCGGTTGGCCTCCGAACCGTCCCATGCTATTAAGGAAGTTCATTCCAGAGCAAAATACAAAAGAATGGATAGAGCTGTTGGATGATCCTCAAAAGTTCATTGCCGAGATGTTGCCTGAAAAGTTTCAAATGTCATTTGTTATAGCAGTGATGGACCTTCTCTCACGCCACACATCTGATGAGGTATACTTGGGTCAAAGGCCACCAAAAAATGAGTGGGAAGATGATGAAGATGTTAACAAGGAATTTAAAGAGTTCCGAGAAAAACTTCAACAAATAGAGACAAATATAATGGAAAGGAATAAACGATATACCCTAATGAACAGGTGGGGATATGCCAAGATTCCCTACAAGCTTTTGTATCCTGATACATCCAAGACAAGGGCTCCCTCCAAGGAGAAGAGCGGACCGGAGAAGATGGATATTACTGGAAGGGGAATCCCTAACAGCATATCCATATAGCAGTGTATGCAATTATTCATTGCATTGCAAACTCCTCTATGACAAAATCTGGGTTTAATCAGTTTCATTTACCTTCATCATTAATATTCTCTGTTCAGTTCCATTTAACTTTTTTATTTTTGCTTTTCAAAGAAATATGTATAATTCTTCATAATATGTATTCATTTCGAGCTAGAGTTTAAGATGTCATCTCGAAAGTCTAGAGCTTTGTCCTGAAATAAACGGGAGGAATTTGTTCTCTCCATGAATTAAAAATTGCTGTGCTCATGTGCATAAGACACTGTATTCAATTATAATCTAAAATTAAATTACTGAAGGGAAACAAAGAAAAGTAAAAGCTCATGAATTTGTTTCATTGCCAGGAATCTGCTATAGAAGTCCAATGCCTCTCGAGGTTTATATTCGTGGACTTTATATTTGGTTGTTGATTATGATTTAAATGTACCTTTTATCTTTAAAGACCAAATCATGATCGGGTCCCTTATCAGCACAATAATTGATAACTTCCTGTTCTCAATCTCAAATATTCACATTAGATATGAGGACCTTGAGAGGTAAAGTAAACTCTAGAGGTTGATGCTTATGTTTTTAGCAATTTATCTGAGGTGGACATTTAAGATGCAGCCATAAAGGAGCAGTTGCAGTTAGACAATCTTCTCTTTTTTCTTGTGAAAGGCTTTCTTACAATTTTAATTTGATCATGACTTACAAATGCATTTCTGGTTTGTATATCTTCACTCGGGAGTTCCGTCAATTTTTACAATCAATTATGCTGTTTCTTCCAGGTAATTTCAGTTGGAATGAATCCAGTTCAAATTGCCTATGGGATTGGGAAGACAGCAAATGCCTTTGTTTTTTAACTCAAATTGATGTCCAGAGAAGTGCAGAACTATATTATCTTCTTTTTTATTGAAAAATAGTCTTCCTTAAAGATAAATAATTGGGTCCAAAGCAAAGTGCTAATAATAATGATGTTTCTAATATGTGCTAAGAAGTATATTCAAGCTTATCTCAGACTTGCCTTAAGTGCAAATGGATTATATAATACAGGTTGAGGATCATGAACTTGCACAAGCTGTTTCTATTAGTGCTGGGAATGATTATGCAGTAGGTAAGTTGAACTCTGATGCTCTTCAACAAGTTGGAAGGAGGGGTGTGGTCAAAATTGAAAAAGGAAAATGTACCGAGAACAATCTACAGATGGTGGAAGGAATGAAGTTTGATCGAGGATGTCTGTCTCCTTACTTTGTCACTGATCATGAAAGGATGATTGTTGAGTTCCATAATTGATTATTGAAGGTATAAACTTTAGGTTCTTAAACCTGACATGTGTTTCTATAAAGTGATTAGAGGGTATGAAATTCTTTACTTGCAATTTCTGTTGGTTGACAAAAAAAACTCACAAATCCAAAGGAGATGTTTAAAATATTGGACAGTGTTGTTAAAGAGAAGTACCTATTTGTGATAGTTGTAAAGCATATTGAGCAGGAAGCTTTTTTTTTTTTTTTTGGTCTGGGACCCCTGGCGTTCGGTAACCATTTTGGACTTCGATTAATTCAGAGCCGAACCAGGTCGAATCCCATAAGAGAAGCAAGCTCTCCCAATTTTTTCCATTCACAAGACTCAAAACTGAAACCTTACTTAAGAGGAACTGAACTCCTTGTAACACGAACCAATAGGCGGTGGTGAGCAGAAAGCTTTTGTTCCACTGATTAGGAACAAACTCAAGGGTGTGCTGAAGGCAACAACCATTAAAGCCCCTGCCTTTGGTCAGCACAAGAGCCTCTGCTTGAATGATATTGCTATCTTGACTGGAGGTAACAAGTACTGATATTCTTGCATCCTCTTACATTAGGAATGCCTATGCATCAGTTCCATCAACTAGAAAAAATTTATTTTATGTTAACAATATTAGAATGAGACAGTATTTTCAAATGTACCCGTCTCTTCAATTATCTTTACTGTTATTAACATGATACAAACAAATCCGTAGCATCACACGGGTCTTGCTCTAGTGACAATAAAAGCAGAAGAAAGTGTCAGAGATAAGAAAGTCTCAGAAATAAAGGAGAAGCCAGCAGAAAAGAAACCGGAGAAAATAGACAAAGATGGTGATCAGGTAGAGAGAGATAAGAGTCTGGAAGAAATAGATGAGAATGTGGTAGAATTAGACGAGAATCCAGCAACAGATAACGCTCCTGATGAAAAGGTTACGTTTCCCGCTGGGTTGAAGCTCGTTTTAGAAGACTATCCCTATGCTAAGGATGGAACTGAGATATGGCATACCATTGAGACATGGGTGAGAGAATATTGCAAAATTTTCTATCATGAGAACTATGATGCTGTCAAGGAAGATGAGGAAATCAAAGAATGGTGGTCCGAAATTAGACTAGTAGGCCATGGTGATAAGAAGGAAGGGTGGTATGACCTTAAAATTAGTGAAAACTTTGTTAGGGTTGATAGTTTAATCTATCTTTGATCTGATCGATTTTATAAAATTGATTTTTTTTTTTTTACAATGGAATTTTGAATTGAGTAATGATAAAAAAATTCAAAATCTAATCGAAATCAAATTTTAAGTAAATTTAACCCGACCTGATATATATAATTTTTTTTATTTATATAATTTTATATTTATATTTAAAAGTTATATTTTATAATTAAAAATAATATTTTTATATTAAAAAAATAATATTTTATTAATTTCAAGTCAAATACAAATTATACAATATCCAATCAAATTTGAATGTGAAAAAAATAAAAAAATTTTCGAGTCAAATCAAATTTGAATTTTTTAATATAAAATCAAATTAAGTTCGAAAAAGTTAAAAATCTACTTCAACCTGACCCGTCGCTATCTTGAACCTCGTAAAGACTCTAACAACTCTCGTATTGATTACTTCATGTATGCATGCTGCAGTGAACTTTGGGCAATATGCACATGCCGGTTGGATCCTAACCGTCCCATGCTATTGAGGAAGTTCAATCCAAAGCGACAGACAAAAGAATGGGATGAGGAGGAGGATAATCCTGATAAGTTCATTGTCTGAGAAGTTTCAAATGTCATTTGTTATAGCAGTGAGGGACCTTCTCTCACGCCACACATCTGATGAGGGTATACTTAGGTCAAAGGCACCAAAAAGTGAGCGGGAAGAGAAAAATTTTAAGATGTTGACGATGAGTTTCAAGAGTTCAGAGAAAAACTAAAAAAAATAGAGAAATATAATGGAAAGGAATAAAAAATATAATATAATGAACAGGCGGGGATATGCCAAGATTCCCCACAAGCTTCTGTATCCTCGTACATCCAAAACAAAGGCTTCCTCCAAGGAGAAGATCGGACCTGAGAGGATGGATATTACCGGAAGGGGAATCCCTAACAGCATTTCCATATAGCAATACATGCAATTCTTCATTGCATTGCGAACTCCTTCTCTAAGACAAAATCTGGGTTTAATCAGTTCAACTAAGCATGAACTCTTGCGCCAAATCACCTTTATCATCAGTATTAACTGTTCAGTCCCATTTAACTTTTTTATTTTTGATTTTCAAAGAAATATGTATAATTTATTCACTGTAACTTTGTGTCTACATTTACGTATATTTCCCTATTTTTGCTTTTCATGGCAAAACCAAATACGTACAAAACAAATCAACCTATTAATTTTAAGATTTCATCTCGATCTAAAGTTTAAGACATCGTCTTGAAAGTCTGGAGCTCAAGTCTTGAAACAAACGGAAGGAATTTGTTCTCTCCTTAAATTAATTCATTGCTCTGCTTTTGTGCATAAGCCACTGGTATTCATTTATAATCTAAAATTAAATAACTGAAGGGAAACAAAGAAAAGTAAAAGCTCATGAATTTGTTTCATATAGGTTGCCCTGCCAGGAATCTGCCATGGAAATCTAATGCCTCTCGAGCTTTATATTCTGGGACAGTATGCCCAGCTCCCTGAACCACACCAACAAAAAAGGTTGAATCATAAATTAGATAGATCAAAACTGAAATTTTGGAAATTTACAATTTGACAATATTTCGCTGTTGTTGCATCCTTGTTACTATACTGCTACATTCATAATATTACCAAAAAATGTCGGCAATGTCGTACCTTTATGGTTAAAAAGGTCAGGTTGTTGTCATAACTTTGTAAATACCTGCAAATTCATTAAAAAAATACTAATTCAATTCTGAAGTGAAATTTGAAATGATTTCAAGTTTATAGAACACAACATGAAAGGCATTAGTTTGGAAAGAAAATAAATTTAATTTATTTGAAAATCTACTAGTAACAGATTCAGGATAAGATAAGATTCCCATTATCGGTATAATAATTTTACATATGTTAAGGGAAGAAAGGGACTGAAAGTACCAAGCAATTTGTCCATTGAAAGTCCACGGCCTCCATTCATCCACTATTTTATATCCAACTGATCTTGTCCAAGCTTCACTCCCGGTGAATGGAACGCATATTGTGATCCCCACTGCCAGAAAAGTTAAATACATAGCACTTATCCCAGAACATAAACCCAGTAGATATTTGCGAATTTAATGCAGAGCACTCATTTGTCATGGCACTAAAAGCTGAACTTCATTTCCCTTAATTTTGAGCAAGTAGCTGAAATGGGAGTTTAAACATCATGAAATTCAATCAATCAATGCAGCTTCAGATAAAAACAATGCTCGGGGATTTGGTCAAAGAAAAAAAAATTATAACCACCTAGGGAGTACAAAGAAACAAAACAATTTAGGACACTAAGGAGAGGGTTGCAAGCTTGAAATCATTGTGTGAAAACAACATACAGCATGCTGAACATCAACCTCTTAAGCATTTCTATCACGGTACACTCTTCCAGATATGCCCACCAAATTCCTAAGGTCATAAGCTGCAAAATTTTATCATATACAGATCATGATTTGCTCTTCAATTTATACCATACTATCTACAGATACAAATTTAGTGCTTTTCAACTAATTTTTTATTTTCCTTAACATCAAAATTTAGCAAAAATTCAGAGTGCACTGTTAGGTTAGTTCCACAGGCATGGAAAAAGTAGAGAATCTAAACTATAGGTTGATACAGTGAAATATAGAGGGCATAGTTATACTCTCAAGTTACTGGAAAAATTGAGGAAATTAACACTGGAAATTTTCTGAAGTGGCATGGTAGAACCAAAACAAGGAATAGCATGTTCTGAACAGTTAGTTCAAAGCCATAACAACAAAAAACAATCTTGACATACTAAGACTGAATCATTCTTTTAGGTCATCTATTATGTTTCTTCTTTTCTGTTTGTCTAGGAACTGAAGCCAAGGAAAAGGAAATATGACTTGTGAACTATGCCATGCCTTGCACCAATGTTCCCCCAAAAAGTCC